CTATATCCTAGAAAGAGTTTGTCATAGTCTGTATTTGAGTCTTCGCGTATTGTTTGCATGACTCTTTCCTGAGTTTCCGGTTCAAGCTCTTCAAACAGTGCCTGTCCATATGGAATAAGCTCGTTTCCAAATATATGTTTTTGTAGCCATTCTGGTTTTCTTTCCATGTTACCAACTATATCTTTTGTGAATGGGAAAGCTTCTACCCAATCTTTCAGTCTTGCGTCGTTTATTTCTGTAGTTGGTTTTATTTTGTCAAGGAACATGTTTTTCAATACTAACATTTCATTTGGTACTGTCCATTTGAGTTTTCTTAAATATTCATCCCTTCTCGGTTCATTGTCTGCAAAGTAAGTTTTTATGACATTTTGCAAACTTTCGTTTGCAAGGTCATGTACAATAGGTTCTCTTCCTTCTTCTCCCTAACTTTCTTTCTAAACTCTTCACCAAATATACCATCTTTATGGTTCTGTGTAGTTCTTTGAGATAAATGTTCTAGAACGTCAGGTGTTATATTTCCATCAGCCATGTTCATTTCATACTGGTTCAAAATATCTGCATCTTTCATATCTTTCAATGGCATTAAAGCCGCGCTTAAAATACCAGCTATATCTGGTTCACCATTGACTTCCATTGCGTCTACAACTTCTTGGAATTGAGGTTGTAAGTTTATGAACCACCTATCCGGGTTAGCTTTATGACCCCATCTCATTGTAGTTCCATCGTCTGCAGAAACAAAAGTAGGTTTGTTTCCATCTTGGTTAGGTTCTGAATGAACTTTAAACAATGTTTCATTTCTATATGTTTTCTTGAAATTTAACCTTTTATCTTCACCGAGTTCATCCGAAGATTGAACGTTAAATGCTCGTAAGTAAAAAGGGTTGTTGTATTTGTGTACATTTTTTTTCAGTTCTTCCATTCTATGCTGAATATTTTCATCTGGTGCTGGAGTCTTTTGTATGTCGGCAAACATTTTTCGATATTCTTCTACTATGTCAGCCGAATTTTTTTTAGACTCTTGGAAATATTCCATATTCTCCGCATACTCTTGTTGAGGGTCAAGATTTTTCGGCTGTTCCAAATCTTCATCTAGTTCTGTGAAGTTAGTTTCCAAAGGAGTGACTTGTTCGTTTCCTTCAGGCTCTTCTAGCTGTTGTTGCTGAACTATTTCTTCCATGTCTGGTTGTATCTGAACTATTTCTTCCTGTGGAGTTTCTTGTACCTCATCTGCTGGCATTTCATATATTCCGAGACCGTTTTTAACAATTTCCCTATCTACGTCATCCGCATTCATAAGCTTTTGTTCTTTCGTTCCGTCTCTATTTTTTACGCGTTTCATGACGAAAGTTGAATTGTCATTTAGCTCTGACATCAAATATCTCGGAGTAAATTCATCCATGTCATTTGGATGATATGCTATTAAATCATATCCCTTAGCGAGTTTGTATTTTCCAGGTTTGAGATTATATCCGTTTTGGTGCTGAGCCATAAAGCTAAATAGGTTCGGGTCAGTATTTCCTTCCTTGAACTTTCCAATAGCTTCTTTATATCTGTCACTAAAGTCAACAGTATCTGGGAAACCACACTCTTCTTTAAGCATTTTTAAGAATTCTTGGTTTCCTTGTTCTCTACTTCTTTTATGTCCTTGCTCTGTTTGTGGTTGTTGTTGTGCAGGGTTTTGAACTGTTGGTTGCTGTGCTGGTTGTTGTGTTGGTTGTTGTGCTGGTTGTGGAGGTGGTTGTTGTGCTGGTTGTTGTGTTGGTTGTTGTGTTGGTTGTTGTGCTGGTTGTTGTGCATGCCTGTGTCTGTGTCCATGTGACGATGTAAATGTTCTAGGTAGTCCTGGTGCAGGTGCTTCTCTTGGAGGGTTTGGTGGTATATAAGTTCCACCAGCTGGCACATATGTTCCATCTGCAGCGTAATGTCCTACCTGACTTTTCGTTTTTAAGAAAGCATTTACTAGGTCTGTTTTGGTCTGTTGTAACTCTTTTTCTTGACTTTTCACAACAGTTGCTCTAACGGCGTCATAGGCACTTTGAACTGCCTGTCTCGTTGCTGCATCTGTTATTTTCGTCATATTTTGTGCTACTTCTTTTAACTCTTTGTCGAAACCTTCAGACTTCAGTTTCTTTCCAGATGAGAAGTCGTTCACTTGTTTCACCTTACTATGAAGAGCTTCGAAAGCGTTCTTAAAGTCAGCATTTGTTAAAGCTTCATTTGAACTGTCTTCATCCGCTTGTATTTTTGTCCTTATTGACCCTATGAGTTGGGCTGCTTTAGCGTTGGCTTGGGCATCTAACCAGTCATTGTTAGCTTTTATATATTCTGCGCTTTTCATTGCCTTTTGCATAGCCGCGTCGTTATTTTTACTTTCTTGTGCTAAGTTTTCATACTGTACGGTTTGGTTTTGCAACTGTAAAAGTTTTTCTGCCTTTACATTTGCTTCAACTTCTTTTTTATACTCATCGCTATCCATATATGTCTTCAGGGCTTTTTGTTTTATCTCTTCATCTTTCAGTATTTTATATTGAGTAGTATGGTTTTTCAAATTTATGACATCTTGTTCCATTTTTGCTACTTCTGCTGCTTTTTCTGACACTTTTTTCGCATATTCCTCTGTACTTAGTTCTTTCAGTTGTTCTTCTTTCTTCTTTTTCTCTACGTTTAACTCATTGAGTTTCTTTGTGTGTCTGTCATATTCTAGTTTCTTTTCGTTTTCACTTATTTGCTTCTGTATGTCTATGTTTGACTTTTTGACATCTGTTATTTGATTTTTGAGTGAACTCAAATTCATTTGACTTTGAGGGTTATAGGCTGTTCCGTCTGCAGCTCCACCATAGCCTGCCATTTTCGCTAAAAGTGCCGCTCTTAAACCTCCACTCTGTGCACCAAGAACTCGGTTTAAAAGCATAGGATTGTTTGACATTTGTTGCAACATAGTGGGGTCATTCAGCATTTGTTGTTGCAACTGTTGTTGTGGTGTCAGTTTTACTATTGGATGTTTCAATGCTCTCTTCCTCTTACGTATATTCTTACGTAGCTTACGTGGCATTTTAAGTGAAGTTAAAAAGCGGTTTTTGACAGATGTTTATATGACACTTTCTCCAGTTTATAGGACCTCTCTCATATTCTATCTTGTCAAGACTTCTTCGTAAATGTTTTGTCAAGACTTCTTCGTAAATGTTTTGTTGAGATTTCTTCGTCAATGAGTGTAAATGACCCAAAAATATATTTTAGGGTAGAAGGTTAGATATAACCTCTTTTCTAACCTCTTTTCTACCCTCTTGAATTTTCATGAATTTCTTCGTAAAGACTTTGTTAAGACTTCTTCATCTAATTTCTCATGAACTTTCTTGTCTATGTTTTGTTGAGATTTCTTCGTAAAGACTTTGTTGAGATTTCTTCGTAAATGACCCTAGTAGTATATTTTTGGTGTAAATTTCATGAAAATTCAAGAGGTGAAAAATTAGGTGAAAAAACAGGTTATATCTCACCTCTTCACCTAAAATATATTTTTGGTGTAAATTTCATGAAAATTCAAGAGGGTAGAAAAGAGGTTAGAAAAGAGGTTATATCTAACCTTCTACCCTAAACATTATTTTTGGTGTAAATTTCATGAAAATTCAAGAGGGTAGAAAAGAGGTTAGAAAAGAGGTTATATCTAACCTTCTACCCTAAACATTATTTTTGGTGTAAATTTCATGAAGAAATCTCAACAAAGTCTTTACGAAGAAGTCTTGACAAAACATTTACGAAGAAGTCTTGACAAATTCAAGAGGGTAGAAAAGAGGTTAGAAAAGAGGTTATATCTAACCTTCTACCCTAAAATATATTTTTGTCTGATTTTACGAAGAAGTCTTGACAAAACATTTTACGAAGAAGTCTTGACAAAACATTTACGAAGAAGTCTTGACAAAACATGAAAACATATATAATTTGTGAAAAGCTCCTGGAAGACCTCCGAATAAAAACTTCATTTATACTAAACATCTTCAGGGCTAGAAGGCACGAAGTGCCTGGAAGCCCCACTGCCTTTTTTTTTTTTTTTTTTTTTTTTTTTTTTTTTTTTTTTTTTTTAATTATATCTAATTTCTTTTACTCTCTCGTACATACTAGATTTGAAGAATTCAGAACATTTCCCATAATCTCCTAAATGTTTTCTTATCCCTAACGTGTGCCAGTTATTATATGAAACTGTATAAACTTTATCTTTATCTTTACACCTTTCATCACTTCCAATATATTTATATCTCAGTTTTGATTTTGCATTTTCATATTCATTAACGTTTAATAATTCACAGTCTTCCTTTTTAAATAAATGTTTAAGATATTCAGGATTTAATACTCTACGTTTATATGCTCCTAACTTAGTTCTAAAGGTTTTTCTACAAAATTTAGGAATTCCATCCTCTTTAATGTCATCAATGATTTCCATTTCATTATTTTCAATTTCTTCTTCTCGTTTATGGGGTCTTTGATTATGACTCCATTGATTCCATGAAATTAAATATTCTTTATCATTATATTTATACCTCATTAGCTTATTTTGGCTTTCATATTCATTTAATAATTCACAATCTTCATTTTTAAATTGAAGTTTAACCCATTCAGGATTTAAACAATGTTTAATTAATCGCGGAATATCTGTCATCATCTATATATAGCTTCTTTTATAAAAGATAAAAAAATAAATTATTTTAAAATTAATGTTAATTTATAAATAAATATATTTTAATGCATCGTCTATATATAGATGTAACAAAAAAAGTCACAAAGCCCATCATATCCTACTACTGAAGTCAAAAGGGATGTTTAAAGATCCAAATATTCGTGATAAACAAGGACTTCCTCCTTTATATTATTGTATTAAAAGGAAGAAGAAACAAAAATTTAAAGGTGAAGCTCTCCAATTTTTGAATACATTGCCAAATTTTGACATCAATATTAGTTATAAAAACCAAAATGGTTTGATACAATGTGTTAAATCTAGAGATCCGGAGATGATGAAGCTTTTGTTATCAAGTCCAAGAATAGATGTTCATGCAAAAGTAGGCAAAGATAATGCAATTCAACATGTTATTACAAATCAAGAAGAAGAATTATATAAGATTCTTATTCGGTATCCAAAGATCCGTTTGGATGAAATAACTCCAATTCCCAGTAATAAGTTGTACAGAATTTTCAAAGAAAAAAATTCATTGCCACCAATATCCTTCAAATATGAAGAAGCTCCAATTATCAAAAATTACAAAGATGAAGAAGATGATAATTATCAGTTATTTGATTCTGTCTCGAAAAATGACGAAACCAATTTCCTGGAATTACTTAAAAACATTAAGGATATCAACAACTTGAAAGGTTGGTTTGATTTCCCTTTGTTGCTGTTTATTTTAATGAAAAATAATAGGCATTTCGTAGATATTTTGTTTGGCAAATATCACAGCTTGGATCCAAATATTATGTTTAACAAGCTTCCTTTGATTTCATATTTGATAAAAAGGAAGAGAGGAGAAAATATGGCATTATACTTCTTGGACAAGACTGATAAGATAGATATCAATAAACCAGATGAGGATGGAATGACGCCACTTCATTATGCTGTAATATCATCAGCATGCAAAGTTATCAAAAAGTTATTGGAGTTTGATTATATCAATCCAAATGCTAAAGATTCAAGAGGCCAAACTCCAATAATGTTGGCATCAAGAATGCCAAATAACTCTGAGCCTTTCAAACTCTTATTCCAATGTGACAAAGTTGATAAGCAGACAAGAGATAAAAGGAATGCAACTATTCTTCATAACGCTTGTCAAGTTGCGAATGTTGAAATAATTTCAATGATTATTGAGAAAATTAATGAAATTCCTGATATTTTGAATTATTATGATAATGAAAGGAAGACACCGTTTCACAGAATCATTGAATACACCCAATATCCTGAGAGGAGATTGATAGTGTTTGAAATACTTCTCAATATTCCTGAATTTCGGGTAGATATATTAGAATTTATTAAGATAGTACCCAAACTTGAAAATGGAAATGAATTAACACAAACATACAACCGAATCAGAGGAAATGCGTTTGGATTATATATATTTGATCATGTATAAATAAAAATATTAATTATTTGTTTCGCATTTCATAAACTTTTTTAGATACAATTACAAAGGATAAATATTAATTATTCTATCGCAATAGCCATACTTATTTCGTGTGATTGAGAAACTTTTGTGCAAAAATTACGTGGGCTCTAAGATCTCTTTTTCCAAGGACATGTCACTACTTTGATTCAATAAAACTATATTCGTTATTTGTACTAGATCATATGGGTATATATTTCTATAAACAGTTTTCTCTTTAGCTCTTCTGATTGCAAGATAAAGTGGCTCAAAATTTCAAATAATTATTATATAAACAATAGTGAAGGTTTTTTCATGAATAATCTATAAAATATGCATAAATCTGTATGTTATAAATCCAAATTGAAGAAAATTGAAAAATATACTTTTAATTTTTTTGTAGAAATTTGAAATAATATTAGAGATTCTTTATTCCTGGTTGATTCCTTCAAGGATGGATGGGCGGACACCCTCACGAGCTGGAAGGCTGATGAGTGGGTGCTCGTTCTCACCGATGACGAAAACGTTCATGATACGTGTGGCGAAGACAGCGCCAGATGTATCCTTAAGGTGGACGATATCGAAGGAAGCCATCTGCTTCTCGATCTTTTGGATTGTTCCGACACGGCCGACGTTACCACCAGCTGTAACCATGGCGACATCGCCAACCTTGAACTTGATGACGGATTCGACTTCGCCTGTCTTGATGTTGAACTTGAGAGCATCATGGACACGAACGGATGGGTCAACATAGGAGATTGTGCGGCCATCGTGTGTAACAACGTGTGGGATACCCTTGGCACCAATCTTGAACTGGTTGACACGGAGAAGCTTGAAGGAGGCTTCCTTAGCTTCGATGTGGTGGACGCAGAAACGGCCCTTGCAGTCGTAGATGATACGGAAGAGTTCGTTGGACTTGCCGAGCTCGATGACATCCATTAAACCTGTTGGATAACGGTAGTTTGTGCGGACCTTGCCATCGACCTTGACGAGGCGGCGCTTGACGATAGCGACGGCTTCCTTAGCTGTAAGAGCGTATTTAAGGCGGTCACGAAGGAAGATGTTGATTGGAAGGCATTCACGAAGTTTGTGTGGACCTGTGGATGGGTGGGAAGCGAACTTACCAGCGGACTTGGCGAGAAGCCAGTGGTGTGGGGCTGTGAGGCGCTTAAGGTGGAAGCGTTGGCAACGAGGCATTACTTTTCCAAAAAGGCCAAGACAAGACGATTATTTTTGATTCAATTATCATAATAACAAGATTTTTAAAATCTCATTTACTAAGATAATGATAATTCTGTTGTGTGTTTGAACTGATTTATGAACAATTTATTGTTTTTCTTTGAGCTGTCTTGAATTTCAATCAAAATCATTGAGTTTCTGATTCATGAATTAATGAAAATATGAATATGCAGCTCAATAGCTGCAATATGACATATGAAAATATTGTAAAGCAAAGAATAAATGCAGATGAAAAAATTGTATTAATACAACAATAAAAAAGTAGGATATATATTATCTGCATATAGACACAACTCAATAGAAATAGTTTCACATGAAACACATAAGATTTTAATATAAAATACATATAACTATATTTTTATATTCTTCTATACAAAGTAACATTGATATCTTCATAAACAATTTGCCAAACATCGGAATCAACGTCAGGTTCAAAAGGAACCTTACTTGTTCCACTCATATAAATGTATTTAATGCCTTCTTTATCGAAAGCAGATGCATCTTCAGGATGCGAAAGTAAAGTATCAACTAAAAAATCCCTTGTATGCAAATCCAAACCATGAGAAGCAATCCATCCTGGGTATCCAACAACAATTGGTCGTCCGCCAATAGATGCAACTGGCTGCTCTGTTGATTGGTCGCCAATAAAGTAGTCGTAAGGACCTGTGTTTTCAGTAATCCACTTTCCAAATTTAACTTGTTGTTCTGTATATATTTCAGAAGGAGAAGCGAGATAAACAAAGAAGCAGAAAGCTCCACTCGCCAATGAAGAAACTAACAAAGCAAAGAAGATAAACATGTTCAATTTCGCTTTCTCACCTTTCTTTGCTTTCACGAAAAAGCTGTAAATGTATTGTGCGGCAAAAGGAACAGCAATAGGAATCCATCCGTTGTAAAACACTTTTATGTTGTCATGGTCCCATTCTTGGTATTTGATTATATTGGAAACGAAAAATACAACTAAAGAAGGTATATAAATAATGATCTGTTCGACAGTAGCTGTCGCAAAACCTCCAATCAAAGCACAAAAACCAAAAGTTCCCAAACTTAGCCACCAATTTCTGAAAAATCCACGAAATCCATCTCCGAAATTTTGCCAGATCGATCGAATGCATGAATGACTTGTTCGTATTCTTGATTCTCGAAATAAAAGGTGGAATCTGTGGTAAAGCAATAGCATTCGCCAATAAACCAAAAAGTGACCACAAAAGGAAAAACTTCAAATATTTCTTTGGTTTCAAATAAGGGAATGTCGTAATGCAATAAGCAATTGACCACTGCGCCATGCTCATGTATGCGTGTGCTTGTACTTGAGGAGTTAAACCCGTGAGAATCGCTGCAATAAACATGAATTTATACGATTCATTTTTGACACCAAAAATCAACAATAAAATTGTCCAGTAGCAAAGAGGGACTCCGAAAAGTGCTGAGCGCTGAGGAATAAGGTAATGCATTATGGAATGGAACCAATAACCGTCTATTGCATTCGGCCAATTATGAACCATGTCGACTATTTCATCTTCTGGAGCTTTCCACGTTGGATCAGTATACATGATGAATCCGAGGCCTCCGAGACATATGAATATCAATATTGATAAGCATCCAATGATACTTTCGTTTGTGTAGTAAGTAGATAAGGTATATAAAGAAAGAAGGACTGAATACATCATTAGAAGGGATGGTATGAATAAGGATTGTTGTAGAGATGCATCACCTGTTGTAATTAGTGCTGCGGAAAGAAAATCTGGCATTAAAGGATAAGCCAAGTTAACTCCATGGTAAAACGTGGAATCTGCTGTGAAGAAACCTGGCCTTTTGTAATTCGGTCCGTATGCAAAGCTTGTAATGATATTTAAGTGGAATGGTAAATCAGAATAAGCTGCACCTTTTGAATATCTGTCTGCGGCAAGCATTGATGCATAAACTATAACTACTAGGAAGAATGTACATAAAATAACTGCCCATCTATGGAAGTAATCGTATTGAATCACTAATCTAAATTTCAAATTCCAATTTTTGATCTTAAATATAAGCCCAAGTGTCGAAAATAGAAATACTGCAGCATATCCATGAATCCTTGTCATTGGTTTTAAGTAAGATGTAATAAAAAGAAACCATGTTAATAATAAAATACCAATAGGGAATCCAATTGCCATACAACTGAAGAATACAAAGTGTTTATGTAATAATGCTGTAATCATTTGGTATCCAAACCATGTACATGAATAAATCTCGAATGCCCAAAGAAACGCCAAATCAAAATCTGATTATAAAACGCATTGAAGAATCTTTAAATAGGTTAGTAGATATTAAATTGAACTGCGAAATGATGTTTTTATAAGGTATTCATGGAAAATTTTTACTAAATATGATTACAAGGATTCCTGAATGCTAAAGATTGTTATTTGGACTGAGTAAAAATGACTTTCAAGTAAACAACTCTATTACAAACATTTATTTCGAAAAAATAAAAAATCTATTACAAAACAAATAAATAATGATATAATTGGACTGTCTTTGAAATGAGAATGTATTTTCTTAACATTTTCAAAGATAATTCTAAAATATAATTAATTTTCTTCTGCTTCCTTTCTCAATTCAGTTATATGACTAGAAATATCAAGAAATGATTCATACGCTAGTGGATTTTTGATAATTTTTTCGTTGGTGCATAATTCCGTGAATTGTTCATAGAAAACATCTTCTTCTAGGATACATTTCAAAAAGTTATCATTATTGTATATCAAATAGCTCAAACCTTGGCAGATAATTCCGAGTGATTCTGAATCAACGTTTAAACCTTCCACAATATCCAATGTGGACTCAATTAAATGTTCTCCGAACACTTCATGTGATAATGTCTCGACTTCTTGTTCAGAAGTGTAATTCTCTCTATTAAAGGTTGGAATCTGAAAAACTAACAAGTAAACGTATGACAAAGCAATTATTTTCTCTTCGACAGTCCCAAAATCTAAGAAATCGTAAATTTTATGGACGATATCTGCTCTTGGAACATAATTTCCGTATCTAAGGCAATTCCAGTAGAATATTAGTGATGCTCGACGTTCGCTTGTAGCCATAATAGCCGATAAAGTGATGTCTAACCGTGTTTCAACCAAATCAAAAATTAAATCTTGAGAAATATAATGAACTGCGAGTTTTGAAAGGATATTGGCACATGCGATCGATGTTTTCTCGTTAAACATTGCATTCACGATTGCTTTGATTACTTCTTCAGTAAAAAATCTTTCGATTTTTGACCAATTTTTCTGTTGTTTGATTTATCAATTTTTCAATGGCTTTCATGGCTTGTTTTTGGATATCTGGATGGTCTTGATGTTCAAGAAATATCTCAGTAACATTATCAAGGCATATGATGCATTCATCAATATCAACTTCGTAATTTAATATTTGTGAACAGAAAAAGAGTCTGTCGTCTTCATTCATGTCTGTTTTTATGATGCAAGAGAGTATCGAATATGGAATCTTCTTTGATAATGAGCTGGAACAGCAACAATTTCGTACAATTTTTATTGAATAATCGGCTTTTGTTTTATTTGTAGATTCAATGCAACTTTCAAGCTTTAAAAGAAAGTTTTCGTTTATAAAATGCTCTTCTGAATTTCCATAATATGAGATTGAAAATAAAAAATTTAAAATTTCACAGAGAATCTCATCTTCTGTCGTTGCCAGAAATAAATCAAGAATGTAGAGAAATATATCGTAGTTTTGTATCATTTCGCTCGCTAAATCTTTATAAAAATCTATAAAACTGCAAATTTTGCGTAATTTCTTGACAATAAAGCTTGTGGTATTTGGATCGTAGTTCTCTTCGATAGGAATTGATATTAATTTGCCAAAAGATTTTTCAACTTTTTCGATATCTTCTGGTTTTATAAAAATTGGCTCTTCTGGATACTCTTCTTCTTCATATTTTGAATCAATATAATTAACAGGAGGTATCTTAGAATTATTGTCGGCAATAGGAGGTTCATCATTTTTCTCCATATTGACAATTCAATTTTTTTTTCTCTTCCGTCAGTAAAGGGCTTGTTTGATTCTTGATTTGAATATACCACTGATCAATGCATAGTTTGAGTATTATTATATTGAGTGTATGCACCCACTTATTACTTATAATTAATATATCGATATATTAAATTTAAATGATAATATCGAATCGGAAAAAGGCATAGCATTTGACAGCAATAGTATGTGATATTACTTTGATTATTGTTAACCAATGTCGCTTTGAAATAAGTTTGGATATCAGCAAAATTATCAAAGCAATATCACATCAATAAGTGTTTTAAAAATCATCAAATCGATAAAAATGCCTTGAGTACATTATTGCATCGCATAACAACACATATCTTGAATATATCTTTGAAATTAACTTGCTTAATCTAGCCGACATTGATGCTGAATCAATTATCAATTCTCAAAATATGAAAGCTCTCATCCTCATGTATGGAAAAGATAATAATTCTATAATTCCATGGTGTGCCGCTTTCAAACAGTCTTTGGATTTTCTTCAAGATGTAAATACCAAAAAATTAAGGAAATATCCAAAGCAATGGACACTACTTCATTATGCATCTGTGAAATAATTGTGCAAAGATATTAAAATTCCTTATTTCACATGGTGCAGATCAATCATCAAAAACTAATACAGGAAAAATTGCTCTTCGTGTTGCAGCAGATAGTAATAGTCTGGACGCATTAGAAGATCTTATTATGAATGGTTCAGATATTAATTCTAAAGATAATGAAGGAAAAACAGCACTTCATGGCGCAGCAATAAATAATAACAAAGTTATGGTTGAATATCTTATATCACACGGTATTAAAATCAATGCTGCAGATAATGATGGCTATACAACACTTTATTATGCTTTGGCATTTGTAAATAAGGAAATATCTGAACTCCTTAAATCACATGGAGCTATCGAATCCGCACATGATTTATCCACCGAAAGGGTAAATATTGAAAAAGAAAAAATGTGAGATATTATGATCATACTTTGTGTTTGGAGGAAACATTAAATTAGAAATAATATTAATTTAATTTACAAAAATATATAAAAACAATACATTAATAATCTAAACCATTGAGTTTCAGAGATTCTTCATCACTCATTGTTTCAGTTGGTTTTGTTTTGATTGAGCATGCAAGACATGCCACGACAATGCAGACAATTGAAAATGTTATGAAAGTTATGATTTCTCCGGTTGAATCCCTATTTTGGTTTGAAATTCTTCCTGAATTCTCTTTGTTTTCTTCTGTTTGAGCTGGAGTTCTTACAGGAGGTGATTTGCATGGACTTGGTGTTCTTGGAGGAAGTGTTGGCTCTTTCGATTTTGTTGGTAGAGTTGCTGAAGGCGTTCTTGCTGCAGGAGTTGGTTCTAGTGTTGGTGTTTCTGTCTTTGGTTCTGGTTCTGGTGTTGGAGTCTTTGGTTCTGGAGTTGGTGTTGGAGTCTTTGGTTCTGGAGTTAGTGTTTCTGTCTTTGGTTCAATTGTAGAAGAACTTGATTCTGGTGTAGAAGAACTTGGTTCTGGAGTTGGAGTAGGTTCTATTGTGGAAGAACTTAGTTCTGAAGAAGGTTTTTGAACAGTTGGTTCTGGAGTTTCTATTTTAGTCACATGAGATGAGGAACTGTTTGTTACTAGCTCAGATGAATCGGAAGAAACAATTGTTGGTTCTGGAGTTTGTGAAGGAATTACTGCTGAAGAAGATGTTTCTGTTGGAGCTGGTTCTGGTGTTGGTTCTAAACTTTCTTTTTTAACAGGAATTCCGGCAATATCTGTGCCGAGAAACACAGAAGGAACAGTTATTTGTTTAAGTAAAGTGCAGCCACTGAAAATGTCATTCGAAAATCCTAAAGGAGAAATATTACCGTTATATTTGACACAGTTCAATGATATGCATCCATTGAATGCTTTAGATGATATAGTAGAAACTGATTTTGGAAGAATTATTTTTGTCAATAATATACAACTTGAAAATGCTTCAGTTCCAATAGAAATTAATGAATCTGGAAGTGTAATTTCAGTGAGTGATGCACATTCTTTAAATGATTTCTCTCCAATTTTTGTAATTTTGCCTTTAATTTGGATACTTGATAGTTTTTTGCAGTGATGAAAGAGAGAATTACTTATAATTGTTATATTTGAAGGTAAAATTATACTTTCTAATGATGTGCAGTATATGAAAGCGGCTTCATCAATTTCAATGATTGATTCAGGAATAATAACTTCTTTGAGATTTGTGCAACTAATAAAAGTTCGCCTACCTATTGATGATATTGGCTCTTTGATCGTAATTTTTGTGAGTTTATCGAAATTAACAATTTTTTCCTTAAATTCACGAAGAGTAACTGCGCCATTACCTGTGATCGTTAATAGGGTGCCATTTTGGGTGAAATCTAATGAATTCGACAGAGAAATTAAAAATAACGAGAAAAACATTTGAAATGGTTCTATCCCCTAAAATAACACAATATTCTCCCTTATTTTTAAATTTTTCGAGATTTTACTCCAATGGAGGGTCAGCCAACAAACGACTCACAGAATAAATGTGATCAATGCAATACTGATAAGCAGCAAAAGCAAACTACCGAAAATGAAATTGAACAACTAAAGAATTTCCAGCCAATAATTTGGCGAGCAGCTGAAGACGGAAACATTGAAAGTGTTAAGTATCTTGTTGCGAAAAATCCAGAAATAGTGAATAAGCCAGACTTAGTTTTTCATATTTTCTTATATAATTCATTTTTAAATTCATAAACAAACACCTCTGCATTGGGCAGCACGCGCAGGGCGTTTTGAAGTTTGCAAATTCTTACTGGAACATGGTGCAAATGCAAATGCTAAAAGTACTGAAGATTCGACTCCTTTACATTGGGCAGCTCAAAAAGGACAACCAAGAATTGTAGAATTACTTCTTCAGAATTGTGCAGATCCTAATTCACAAGAAATCGACGGAGAAACTCCTCTTCATTTTGCATCTTATTACAATAACTTTGAGTCTGTCAAACTTTTGATCAAAGCAGGAGCTGTTGTAAATAAGAGGAATGAAGAGGGTCTAACTCCATTGAAATTGACAACTAGCGATGATATCATGGATTATTTGCTTAAAATAGAAAAGAAGCAAAAGATCCAAATTGAATAACGAATAAAATAATTCTATTCCATTTCTAACAACAATGTTTATTATGATTTAATTCACAAAATCTAAGAAATAATATGTTTAATTTATCATATTTGTTGTCAAGGAGGTTCGAATTAGGGTTTCATTGTGTTATGATTGATTTTGCAAGATAATTTGCCAAATTTGGCAAAGAAAAACCCTCATTTATATAACAAAACTTCTAAATAGAATTCTTTTTTGAAACATCTTGATGTATTTGCTAGTGTTATGGATGGAAGTGTGAATTAAAAGGATCTAAAAGGTAATTAAAATAAAAAACGCATTTTAAACTTTAGAACTCAACACAATATGTATACTTTTATGTACTTTTGGTATTACACTGTGTAGTGTAAATTAGTCAAGTGATTTAGGAACAGAACGGAGAGTAATTTCATATCCATCTGTTTTAATTCCAGCTTCGTTCAGAATATTCTTCAGGACGCTCTGTGGTACATCAATATTAACGATTTCGTTTTTGCTTTTATGTTTATTGTCCTTTTTCATTTCTTTTGTTTCGTTGAATTTGTTATTGCGATACTTATCTTTCTTATCCTTATTACCTTTTCTCTCCTTTTTGTCCTTTTTGTCTATTTTGCTTGCTTTCTTAGAAGCCTTTTCCTTTTCGGCTTCCATTTTCTTTTTCTGGCTGATTTCATAAAGAGAAAGAAGAAGATTTGGATGTATAGTAGTAGCCCGGGCAATTTCCGCTTTGGCTCGTGCAGCACTGAACTCGAAAATAGGTTGAGTCATTTTCTGGCAAAATAAAGTTTCACTTAATTTTTGACAATTATTTTGTAAACTGTCAAATATTAATTAATAATCACATATATCAATTATTCAAATTATGTAAAACAGTTTCATATTTTTTGACACTTTTTTCAACATTTTGATGTTTTTATTGTTTTTTAGTTTAACACAATCGAAACTAAAAGAATTCACCGTTGAAATGTATAACAAAGAATTTTCCCATAAGAAGAAAGGGAATAACAGAGTCTGGACGTTCCTTGCTTATAAACCATACGTAAAAAATCTAAAGTTATATGAAAGTGCAATAGAGCATGCAAAAATACTTACAAATGGATCAATAGCATACGGAAAAATCAATTGCCAAGCCCAAACAAGGCTCTGCGAATCATTAAAAATAGAAAATTTTCCATCAATTATCATTAAAAATAGAACATACGATATAAGCTATAATGAGCAACCAAATCCCGTTCGAATTGCCAAGGAAGCATTCAGAATTGTTAATAGTTCTCTTGTTGAAGAAGTGAATGATTTCTGGCTCGATGATTATCGCGCCAAACCTACAGCCATTCTCTTCACATGTAAGAAAGGAATTCCTGGATACTGGGCTGCAATCTCTCGCGTCTACAATAAAAAATTAAGAGTTGGAATTTGCCATGATGACGGCTTATTTGAAGAATTTGGTATTAAGGATGTACCACAGATTGTATTCTACAATGATACAAAGACTATTCCTCATGAAGGAGCAAGAAAATTCAGATATGTCAATGAATCAGCAAATGCATTCTTAAATGAGCGACCATCTAAGTCTCCAATAGGTGCGGACTTCCATGTAAATGCCGAATTCCCTGAATACTGCTACGATTACCAGAAAACTTGCATTTTCTGCAACGAAAACTTTATTGATCCTGAATTAGATGAATTGAGAAACCATTTTAGAGACCCAAAGTTCCAATTCTTCATCGGAAAATCAGGTCTTCCGTTCAAAGATATCAAATCTGGAGCAATTGTCATTTACAGCGCTAAGAAAGAAGGTATAATCATAGAAGAGGATATAAAGAAGGCCCAGAGTGCTATTGATCGTGTAATTGATGGAACAGCCAAATTTAAATCGATCCCAAGAAATGAAATTTACATGGAGTTATAAATACTTCATTAATGTTTGAGTAAAAATGATAAGTTTACATATATTTCTTTAAATACCATGAACTCTCTTAATTAACTCAAATATAATTTTGATTCACATATTTGGTCAATTGTATTTAAGAAATGAAAGAATGAAATAAATCTAATATTACTTTTACTAACAAAATTAAACAGTGTATAAATTTGGTTCGATAATTTGGTTATCATCAATGTTTTCGAGATCATTACCTATGCTACTTAATAAAGCGTCAATTTGAGATGAGCGTGTATTTACAATGCCAAGCTGGTAATCGATCCACCACGTCAATACTTGTGTTTGCTTTGCTTTATCGAGAAACATGATTTTTTCGAGATCTAGATTTCTTACGTATCCTGATAATTCATTGACATGAGTTCTAACTTTCTCTTGATATTTAGGATTTTGATTTTCATTGTGTAAATAGGAGTAATCATGTGCAGAAATTGGAGGAAGGCATACAGATAGAACCGAATTTTTCCTTAGTATACTATCTATCTCTTCATCCTTTAATCCGGCTAATCTTGCCCTGTAAAAGGATCCATTCCTTAGCATTTGGCTTGAAAATGTTTGAAGTACAAATTTAGATGAGCTTGTATTAGACGTAAGCTGTTGTGCCAGTTCTGTAAGAAATAATGCTGCGGATGCTTTTAATTCATCATTTTTATTAGAATTATTGTTGTCATTTCGATTTTTATATGGAACTGAATCAACTCTAGCATTTCGCCTTCCTAATCCAGAGTCTAGTTTTTCTCCAGGATAAACTTTACCAGATTTCATTTTGGAAGGAATGATTTTCTTCATTTGTTTTAAGATAAACTCATTATTTTAAACATGTGTTCAATCATCATTATTATATATTTCTGAGAATTTGATAATAATTTTCTTAATTATACCCTCAGACTGATCATTAATCAATCATTCGTTGCATAAACCTGTAAATCTTAATATTTGTAAGACTGTGAAAAGAATATGAGATAATTTAAAATTGCAATGGTAAATTTTATTCATTTTTTATTGGATCAAGTTTTCTGGATCTGTGATTTGGTCAAGTGTGGCAAGTGGAACAAACTTCTTGTCTGTGATGACCTTCCAGTTATCGAGGTTCAAAAGCTTCTCGTTGAGCTTCTGCTGAAGTTCTGGCTGCATGGCAATTCTCTTTGGTGAGTTTGCGCCATGAATACCGATTGATCTGAGGATTGTGAAGCCAGAGTAGTTGAAAGCGTAGAGAGCACTCCATGTGTAAGCATCAAGGCCGTTTCCTTCCTTAGGATCGAAGAACATTGGTGCACTGCCTGTAGAGATTACAGATGTAACCTTCTTGCCGGCGAGATAGCCCTTGTCGAGCATGTGCTCGAAGTCCCAAGCAAATGGAACGTTGAGAACTCTCTCTGTATATGCATAGACGCATGATGGGAATCTGCCGTACCACATTGGGGCGAAGATGACAACGTGTGTTGCCCACTTGAGATTCTCTTGCTGGACCTTGATTTCATCAATCAAGTTGTCTTGGCCTGTAACTGCGAAGATTGAGAATGTGCCATCTGGGATCTTCTTGAAGTCCTTGGCTGTCAATGTTCTGTCAAAGCCAGACTCAACGAGGTTAACGTATCTGACTTCATGGCCAGCCTTCTCTAAGGCTGCCTTTGCGGAGTCAGCAAATCTGAAAGCTGTTGCCTTGTGTGTTGGATCAACATGCGCGACGAGGAAAAGAACACGCATTAGTGAGAAGTGAAGAGATTTACTCAAATTTATACAATTCTCAAATTTTTCGTATTTTCAATGAACATTCAAATTTCTGAGGTTCTCAAAAGATTTTACAATGATAAAAAATTGGCGCAGTTTTTGGATTTTTATTGCGCAATTAATTACCGATATTGGATTGTTATAAGTAAGGGTTTCGTTTTGCTAAAATTGTCACTTTTATAGCATATTTGTTTTTGGATGTTTTGCGAAACCAAAAAAAAAAACTATGATATACAATGTGTGTGTAAAGAAAATACTTTATTTACTAGTTAAAAAATCATTTGGTATTGATCAAGTTATTTTTTCTGGATAAGATATTATATGGATAATTGGATAGAAAATACAATTATATAATCTTGTACCTGGTTTAATTAAGCTAATTGTCATCAGAAACTTGTAATTTTTATGAATTTCAGATTTTCTTTTCATTACTGCTTTTCTTAATAGGTCAAGTTCTTATTTACGTTATAAAGTATGATATTTACAAATATCAAGTTATCATGTTTTTTGAGAAATTATGAGAAACAAACAAAAATGAAAAAGATAGGAATAGCAATGAATAGTGATGTGGGTATAGAAAATGTAAGAGATATGAATGCAAAGCAATCAGTATTTAGGATATTGACCATAGATTTCGAAAAAAAATGCTGCATATTGAGCGAAAACTATGATTATATTATAAGGCTGTCATTTAAAGCATAATGAAACTATTCCCTTTTCATTTTAATCGAATAAGATAGTAAAGATTTTTGAATTAGCTAGAAACTGATGAGATGTTTTCACAAATCAGATTTTTAATCTCTATAATGCATAATTCACTCAATATCTCAATTTTGATATTGCGAGATATTTTTGCTATCGGTTTCGCAATTTTGACACAATAGCAAGAGGGTTCTATAAGCATTATTATCAACGTAGAATCTGAATATCATATCAGAAAATGTCGCAAATCTGACATTTACCCGACCAAATAGCAAAAATAATTGAATACTTTTCGCAAAAACTTTAAAAATCGATAAAAATATGAAATATAGATATTAAAGAGACTTTTTATATAATATTCATAAAGATTTTCCAAAAATATGATACCGCAAAATTTAAAAAAGTGACGTCTTGAGTGGAGTCAAAGGTCGAAATTGCTAGCTAAATGTTTTTTAGCGAAATTGCGTATTGTACGTTTTTTCGCAAAACGAAACCCTTATTATAAGGATTCTTTGTGACAATTCATTAGATTTCAAGTAACTGCAAATTTGCTATTATTAATAGATGAGCACGCTCCCTACTTGGAGGATATTGTATATCTTGCATACATGTATGATGTATACCCGATCATTCATATATTTAAGATTTGTCTTTAAATTTGATAGATAATGTAGAATTATTGTGATATTTCGAATCAAATTATTACGCTGATTAAGGAAATCAAAAATTAAAGATAATCTCATAATAAGAACATATTATTTGGATATCGATATAAATTAGATAATTTGCGTGTTTCTCTTATTTGTATGAAACAAAAAGCTATGAGTTAATATGGAAGTGTTTTTCCTGACACATTGCAAATAGAGAGAGCTGCAAAATGCATCTTGAATATCCTCGAATTTTTAGTAAATTGTAAGGCCCAAAAATCATCTTTTCATCAATATCTCATATGGTGAAGTTCCATTAACTTATCATATTGCCCTATATTAGATACTATACTGCATAATTTTAAAGATTAGGAACCTAATCTCTGAAAGAAATGAAGTTGGAATACAAGGTAAAAAGTTTCGTTTTTTAGGAATCCGAAAAAGTGACAAAAATATGAATATTGATTTTAACATGAATCCCTATGCAATTTTGTTTTTTGTCCTATGGCTCTTATGGACATTGTATTTCATAATCAATTTAGTGCTATTTTTCTCCCATAAAGAATCATTTTACATCAAATCAAGATCTCCTTGGTGCATCTTCTCATCAGCAATAGGTCAATACTTAATGACTTCCGCTGAATCATGGAAGGTAGTAATAGGGCCAACTCAATTTCCAAATATCATCGATCATTTGTTTTTATGGATTTTTATTCCATTACATTTTATTCCTTACCCCGTTAGAGCACTTCAATTCATCATTAAATATCATATCGGCAAAGCATATGCCGATAAAGAAGAAGTTGAAGATAATCAAACTGATGGAACGTATTCCAAGCATTGGATTAACGTTTCAAAGCATAAATTTTTCCTTACAGACTATGCCTTCCTATTCTACTCATTATTGCTTCTCATGGGTCCATTTATTCTCGGAATGTACAGATTAATTAAATATCAAGAAAACCAGCCAGGCCATTATGGTAATGGCATTCAAAAGTCTACATATATATTTTCTGCCATCCTTGTTGCCTTTATTTCCATTTTTCTTTGGGTTTGTGTTTATTTCCTCCGAAACGTTCATGATGAAATCGCTATTAATACAGAACTTAAACTAATCGGTATAGCATGGATAATAGCCGTTCCTTTCTACGTAGCTTTTGGCATAGCTAATATTGAAAAGCCAGATGTGATTCCTCCAGAAAGCCCACCTATCTGCTGCATCATTCTTTGCATGGTGTCATTCATGATATCATTTTCTTTGCCCGTAAGTCTTGCAACTTGGAAAAATCCGGATTTCAAGTTGACAATTCCGGAATTCAGATCAGTTGATAACGTTCTTGAAGACCCTAACGCTTATAAAATGCTAAGAAAGTTCATGCAATCGAATACATGCGTCGAAGGACTACTTTTCTTAAGAGATACGATGAAATACAAAAGTGAAACAGATCCGGACAAATTACATGACATGGCCCATAGAATTTACGAAAAATATATTTTTGAAGAGGCTCCGATGGAAATTAACATTGGTGCGCTGATTAGAACTGAATGTCTCAAGCATATCAATGAAATTTCTCCAAATGTATTTGATAGAGCTATACAAGAGATCAAAAAGCTTATTAATCAGGACCAATTGCCTAGATTCATGCAATCTTCTGAAATGATGCAATATATTAAGAATTACAAGGTTAGTGTAATCCCAGAATCAATGGTATAACTGAGCACTTGTTTATTTGTTTGTTATTTTAAAAAAAATTAAGAAAATTAAAAAAATTTTTTTCTTTCGGATAAAAACTAAATTTAACTTTGTTAGATAGATATTTTGTGCATTTGTTTCTAGCACGTCAGATATAACTAGAGATATTGGTTCAATGCGAATTACATTTTCACTTAAAAATGTCAATCTCATGATAAAAAGACTATTTCCAGAAGTATTAACATTTAAAGTTATATGTGTGTGATTAAGGCTCCAGGTACAATTTCTTATAAAGAGTGGTAAATATAAACAAGTAAAATCTTTAGATTCACCACTCATTTTTGCATCACAAAAAGGTCATCTTGAAGTTGTGAAATATCTTTTCTCTGTTGGAGCTGATAAAGAAGCATAGAATAATGATGGAAAGACTGCTCTTGATGTCGCAAGTAGTTATGTGAAAAAATACTTTTTAAAAGACAACTATTTGTATTTGAATTACTAAAACTTTTGATTTTTTTATTCTCTGATATAAACTCTCAAATAATTCATTATCCAATACATTATATTTCCTGCTTCCATAAGTTACCCAGAATATATGTAAGGAAGCAGGTCTCAGGAGTACTGTTACTTGTTTGTCTTCAAAAAATCAACAGACATTTGTCAGTTCTTCTTTAGATGGAACTGTCAGAATTTGAGATGTTAGAGAAGGAAAAGAACTCAATAAAATAGAACTGAATGATACACCAGTTTGAAATAAAGAAATTTATTTAATGTTAATTTTACTTCGATTGAAATAGAAAAAACGAATAAAAAAATCCAATTTCATTGATGAGGTGAAATAATTTCAGTCAACTTTTGTTGCTGGCTCAGCACCATGTGAAATTAAAACTTCAATAACTGCTTGGTTATTATAATGAGAGGCGGCTTGAAGTGGAGTTTCTTCAAAGATATCTTTTGCATTTACGTCAGCTCCACTTGAAATAAGTAATTCGGCTGCTTCCTTGTTGTTATTACATGCTGCAATATGAAGACATGTTCTTCCGTTTTGATTTTTACAATTGACTTCAGCACCATTCGAAATAAAAAGTCGTGAAATATCAATCCATGAATTTCCAACAGCGATATGAAGGGGACTGTTATTAAAATTATCATATGCGTTAATCTCTGCACCATGAGATACTAGAAATTCAATAGCTTCTTTGCATCTGTTTAGTGTAGCAACATGTAGAGCAGATCTTTTAGTTGTGTTAACTGCATTGATATCTGCACCATGAGAAAAAAGTACTTTTAATATATCGACAAGATTATTTTCAGCTGCAAAATAAACCGCTGTTCTACCGAATTCATCTTTTCCATTTATATCGATACCTTTTGAAATAAGGAGTTCTAATGACTCTATGTTATTGTACAATGTAGCAATATGAAGTGCAGTTCTTCCGAGTTGATCTCTTGAATTTATGTTTACTCCCTGCGCAAGAAAATACTCAATCAACGAATTTCCAAAGCACGATGAATAAACGAAGCATTTTTCGATATCATTTGTTTGATCTAAATATATTAATAAGGCTTGTAGATTGTTGAATTTGCAGCAATAGTCCAAATCGATTTTTAATCCATATTCGTTCATCAAAAAACAAACAAAATCGATGTTATGTGAAATAATTGCGTATTTCATGCATTTTTCAGTTGGTTGTTGATATTTCAAACATTCATTGACGATATCAGGAATACCACTTAAAAAAGATAGCAACAGACATTCATCTGTAATTTCGGATTTGTAATTCGATCTCAAAATCTTGAAGCAATCAACAGCCCCATAATAGCAACATAATTCAAGCAATGTATACTGAATAATATCAGTAGAAAACAAACCATTGTCATAGACTTTGTTTGCATTGAATCCTTCTTTTCCCGTTTGAATAATGAATGATTCTTTATCATTATTTATTATTGATTTATAAAGTTCATCATTTTCATATGAACTCAAGCTATTTGATGCCATAAAATTTTTGAAATTTAATTTATGTTTTACGTCATAGACAACACCTGTTTCTTTATAAATTAAATAATCAAATAAAATAGAAATGTGTGGTATTTCTTTTGGCTTGAATTCATCAACTAACTTTTTAAAGATAGCATAATACGATTTCATGTAACGGTTTCTGAATTTTTCGGCATTGCAAATACCGCTCAGAACGTAAGATAGTGAAATTGTATTAGTTTCCATTAATTTTGTCTTAATTAATTGGTAAATGTTCTCGATTTCTTCTTCATTTTCTGATTTAAGACTGTAGATAGCATTAAATGTATCAGTTATATCCTTATATTTCTCTGTAAGTTCAGAAAAAAATCATTTTATTCATTTTTTATAACTCTGCCAAAATTGTCACTTTTATCTGACCGAAAATCATTTCAATTATCTCTCATTCTCTGATATCGAATAACTTAGTAACCTGTTTGTTATTGTAGACTTTAAAAAAATCCAGAATCTTCCTAAAAAATATTTTCCTGGAAGCAACAAAATTTCCAGATTTTACATTCCTAAGTTTTACAGTAAGATCATTAAATTTATTTAAAACATATGATTCCTTATCATCTTTGATAGAATCAAGGACTTTCTTAACATTATCTTGATCACTTTGTTTGTTTGACAAAGTCTTGACTAAGAAACAATTCAAATCTTCCATTTGATTTAATTAAGTTTAAATGATAATTTAGAGGATCCAAACTCAATACGTTCATTATTTTGAATCTGTATGTTTCTTGGAATGGAATACTGTTGCTCGTTCATAACTTGAATGTGGAATGTTGACTGAGAAGAGTGTACTATGCACTCTTGTTGGTCTGCAACTCTCATTCTGGGAGATACTGCCTCTACATATCTCATGGAATGACATACTGTTCCATAGCCAATTCGAAAAAGCCATATTAGAGAAACCTAAATGAAAACGAAATTTATGATCAACAAATCTCAGAGGAAACATTTATTGAGCTGAATAAGTAATACTTTTATAAAATGAGTTGAGAGCAAAATTGAATATTCAAAAATAGGTTTGGACAGATCGCTTTGCACCATATTGCTCAAGTAATGATATCATCTCTTTATCTTCTTTAATATATGCATAATCAACAGCAGATAGACCAGAATTATCTTTTGCATTAATGTCAATATTGTGCATTAAAAGGTATTTTGCTTTATCTACATCTTCCAGGCTCACTGCAAAATGTAGTGAGGAGTATCCATGTATCTCTTTATCATTTATATTTGCACCATTAGATAAAAGTATTTCTGCAATTTCAAAACTGTTTTGGTGTATTGCAACTAGCAGGGGAGTAATTCCGTTATTTGTTTTTATATTTATATTGGCTCCATTTAAAATGAGAAGCTTAGCTGTATCAAATGAATTATATTGAACTGCATAATGGAGTGCAGTTTTTCCTTCATTATCTTGCTCGTCGACAAAGGCAATTGTTTCACCAAAATTACCTTTTGTAATAATTTTCTTACTATGCAAAATAAGAAATTCTGCAGCATCATAATTATTTGTTAGAGCTGCCACTTGAAGAATGGTCATTCCGTTTTTATTTTTTGCATTAATATCTGCACCATTTTCAATAAGAAATTCGATCATTTTTTTGTTACTGAATGAAGCTGCATAATTTAGAATAGATTTCCCGTTTTTATCAGTTGAATTAATATTTACTCCACGAGAAACAAGAAATTTGACTATTTCTATATTACCAATAAGGGCTGCTAAATGAAGGGCTGTAACATGAGAGTGATTGTCTTTTGCATTAATATCAACTCCTTGTGAAATAAAATATTCGAAAATAGAAGTGCCGAAACAGGGAGTATAAGGAAAGCAGTTTTCAATGTCATTTGAAACATCAAGATGAATAAAGAAAGCTTGGTAATTCCTCCAGAGCCTACAAGTATCCAAATCAATTTCTAATCCATACTCTCTATTCAAAAATGTTATAAAATCAACATTGAATGAAATAATTGCATATTTCATGCATTCTTGATCGGGTATTTGGAATTTCAAACATTCGTTCAAAATGTCTGGTTTTCCGCTTAAGAATGAAAATTGAAGGCATTGTGGATTAATTTCTGAGTTGAATTTTGTCCTTAATAACTTAAAACAATCAACAGCTCCGTGATAGCAACACAATTCAAGAAATGAATATCCTTCATCTGATTCCGGATAAAAATCATGTTTGAGTTTTTGAGTTTTATCAAATGATTCGCTTTCAATGAATACAATAAATGAATCTTTATCATCATCCATAATTGATCTATAAATTGTGTTTTTTTCATGCAGATCTAATGTATAATTTCCGTAAGATTTTTCACTTCGATAACTTATTGGGAATCCATATTCCTTATTAAAGAAATATTCTAAAGCTGGATGATCTCTTAAATCAATTTTTATTCGAAATTCTTCATAAAACATTTTGAAAATGAGCCAATATGATTTCAAATATATATTATTATATCTATAAGCACTAAAAAGGATAGGGGGACTTACAAATGGAAATAAATCTATCTCATTAGAAATTTTTTTCATCTTTTGATAAATTTCTTGTATTTCTGTGGTATTCGTTGTGTTAATACGCACGAAAGAAGCAATGATTTCATAATTATTTCGATACATTTTTATCAACTCTTCGTATATGAGGTGGATATCTTTCTTTTCAGTCATTTGAAAAATTAAAAAAAAACAAACTAGCAATTGCAACTACACTCATTTTATATACAATTCAATTTTTTCCACGATTCAATTTTTTCCCACAATTCAATTTTTTTTTTCAATTTGAAAACTAAAATTATGCTATAGGATGGAATTCGAAGTGATATTGGGTAAAAATAATTATGGCAATATCAGATACTGTAGCTTTGAAATGATACGTCATAGTTTGAAACGATATTAACATATTTTCATTTATTAATTAAGATGGAGCTGATATGATGCATAATGCTATTGTTTTATAAAATCAATAACCTATTTTCGATAAGAATACTATTGAAATTTTTATTTTATCGATAGAATATCGAAATTGGGAAATACAATAGCATCAATTTTTCAAATTTAAGGTCTCAGTAGGCTCTAGTTTTAAGGAAACGGATACTTAATATAAATAATTTTTTTTTATTCTTTATCAATCATAACAAAATAAGGAAATGAAATATGTAATCGGAATGTTACAGTATTATTTAGCACCAATTGAAAGCTTTCCAAATGCAGGCGCTTTTGATGGAGTTGAACTAGGTGTAAGACCTGTTTTCTTAATACCACTAAGGCCACCCATTGCAGGTTTACCGCCAATGCCACCTCCAATGCCACCGCCAATGCCCTTACTCAAACCTTTTCCAATTGCAGGTTTGGCAGTAGCAGCAGATTCCTCAGCAGCCTGTTCGGTGTTTTCTTTCTTCTCTTCTGTAACAGCTGGGGGTTGGTACTTCTTTGGTTCGGGCTTTGTTGGATTAATTGAATATATTGTATCAGACTGAACTCTTTGGTTAATGGCAAGCTTTGAAGTTGTTGTTTCTGTATGTTTTTCTGCTGTTTTCTCGCTTTCTTGTGCTTTCTTGAATTGCGTTTTGATTTTTTCGGCTAAATTGGCTTTGAATAAGATATTGCTATGATTTGTTTGAAGAATTTCTTGGAAAGAAGTTAACATTCTAACGGAATCTGAAATTTGAGATGGGGACATTGGAGAAAATCTTTCTGTTGGCGAATATTGGAGTCCTGATGGAGCATATGTAGTAATACCTGTTGAAATTGGTATTTTTTTGTTTGATGTTTTGAAATTTATTGATAATAAATCGATAATGCTTGCGCGAATTTCTCTGATAACTTGTATTTGGCTGAGACAGAAGAAGGCCAAAATAAATAACAATAATGAAAAGTAGAGAAGGTATGGACTAAAATTCATTATTGAACTCAATTTGACCAAAAAAAAATTTTTTTTATCCATGTCTCCAATTAATTTTTTGAATAGGTTTTATAGCATCTCTAGCATGCCATTTGAAATGGAAAGTTGAATTTATTGCAATTAAACCATAGATTATTATTCTCTTGATCATAGATCTTGAATTAAATGGAAAGTGTCTTCTCTGATGGACCAATCTCTATTAGAAATGAAAAACTGCATTCTTTTTTTGTCCTTATGTTAGTATAGTTCATAATTTAACAATTTATTTCCATTTATTAATATAAATTTATTAAAATTTGATGGATAATTCAATTAAGTGTATAAAATTATAAGCTTGTGCCGATTTGAATTTTGACAAAATTGATTATTTACAAGTGGAATTGAGAAAATAAATTAAATTTTTCCAAAATTAACAGCTGAAAAAGAATATTTATTATACATCAATTTAATAAAATTCTGATATTGGTAATCTAAACATGCCTTATTTTAAATTAAGGAATGAAAAGCAGTGTTGAAATTCCACTATTCACGCCGATACACAACGATTATACAATTCAATTTTATTACGTAAAAAATAAAGTTTACAAAACTATTTTTTCAGATGACATTCGAAGAGAAGTTAAAGCCATATGAAAAGTGGGTAAAGCTTGCCCAAGAAGTCCTTTTATTCAAGCGTCCAGTCATCTTTGCAGCCCTTCTTCTCACAGTTTTGGGCTTGTTTGGATTCGCCAAATCTGTAGAAGCTGGCTTCTTTGCTTCTGTTTGCCTTGCAATTTGCGCCCTTTACTTTGCAGTTGTTTTCTACGCATACTTAGGCTCTAAAGTTGACAAATTCTTGTTTAGTGAACTTCCAGGAGATGATCCAACAGCCTCAAACAGAGTACGCTCATTAAAGGAACTCGATGAATTATTCGGAAAATACATTCCAGCTGAATGCCCATGCAAGACCTGCTGCTCTCTCTCAAAGAAGGGAACATTCATTGCAATTGGTGTTTCTTTTGCTTTGGCTGTTTTCTTTAAGTTCGTTCCACCGTTTTGGTTCAATTTAGTTGTAGCTACACTTGCATTAGTACTTCCAGGCGTTTTAACTCTTCCACCAGTTGCACAGCGCTCATCATGCCATGTATAGTTATTTTACTTGTATGTTTATTTTGATAACGTGCAAAGAAAAGACGATTGAATTCTTCTGAAAAGCATGAAAATATTTGAATTAAAATCATTTTATCATAGATAGATTATAATAGATATGTTATTTATAAAAATTTGATTCGGGGCTGGATTGTATCAAACATTGAATTCGATAAGAGGAAATTATTAAGGATATGGCCTTCACTATAGATATTTAAGATATCTTAATGCATCTGCCCATAAATTATTGATTAACATAAGTATGAATGATCAAAAAAAATTATTTTCAAAGATATCTTTTTTGATCATTCATACTTATGTTAATCCAACTTCTTTTGGTGCATATTTCAAGTGAAGAATCTGACAGCATTGCAATGCATGACTTCGCTTTTGGAATATGGACTGGAAAAAAAATGATTAAATCTAGAATTTTGCCTTTGGCAAAAACATGGTTAAAATTTGTTCCTTCTATCGATATTTATGTTGTAAACAATTGTTGACATTGCACTCAATTTTTAGCCATTTTGGCTAAGAATTGGAGGGTGTGAGTACTCTTGCACGTAATAGTATCTCACACCCTCCAATTCATCCTATGGCACCGAAAAAGTAAGTTTTACAACAGTTAGAAAAATTTGAAAGTCCGCTGTGTAAAGAATTTGATTAGAAAAAAAAAGTAAAACTAAAATCGATGCGCGCTGCTCGTAGAAGTTCTTTTTCAAATGTCCCGCAGCAAGTTTTAGAAAACTTCCAGAAGCTCTTTGCAGTGGACCCTGAGAAATTAGCATCAGGAGAAGTAACAGCTCAATTCCCAACTTTCAATTCCTTTACTATCATAAATTTGTTAATTATGGTCAAAAATTTATTCAATGCCGAAGATGTCATCATAAAAGCTAAGTCCCCGATGGTCGTAGTTGGCGATTTGCACGGGCACATCATTGACCTTCTTAGAATTATTAAACTTAATGGATTCCCTTTGAATAAGAGATACTTGTTTTTAGGTGATATTGTTGACCGCGGACAGTTTTCTTTTGAAACTCTTATACTTGTTTTCGCTATGAAGATAAATTGGCCGCAAAATGTCATTATCATTCGTGGAAACCACGAATTCGACTTTACATGCAAGAATTCAGGATTCCTTGCTGAGCTCAAAGCTCTTTACAAGGATTATGAGTCTTTATATGAAAGTTTCTTAGATGTATTCGCATCAATGCCATTCGGATGCATAATTGACAATAAATATCTCGCTGTTCACGGAGGAATCGGTCCGAATTTCACAAAAATAGAACAACTCGCAGCAATCAAAAGACCAATTACAGATTTCGGATTGAATACTTTAGACGAAGTTCTTTGGTCTGATCCAAATATACAAGTTCGTGATTATGAACGCTCTCCACGTGGAACTGGCGTTCTTTACGGTATAGATGCGGTAAATAAATTCCTCCAAGATAACAAAATAACTACAATTATTAGAGGTCATGAAAATACATACAAAGGTATTGAGATTTTATTTAACGGCAAAGTAATTACTGTATTTTCCGCTTCAAATTATTGTGGAATCGGAAACAACAACGCTGGAGTTCTCCTCATATCCGGAGCAAAGGTCCAGCCTGTTATATATGGTCCTTTACCATATGTGTATCGTAATCAAGTACAGTATTTGCCTGCTCCTTAATTATATTATATATATTTCAGCTTTAGATATAAATTTAAACTTATCCTGTTTCATGAAAGTTAAATAATTAAGTTAGAAATGATTTTATTATTTGAAAATTTATTTTTGAAAAATTAATGATTTCGAATCTATGATTAGCTAATAAAACAATTACCTTGTTTCCGCTTTCTATATTTTGCTTTTAAATTCTTGCTAATTCTTGAAAATCAATTTTGATTGATATATGTATGCATTTTAATGTGAAACGGATAGAACTACTTCAAAAACATAAAAGGAAACATGATTTAAGAAAAAATTTTACAAGATTTTACAAACAATATTCTATAAAGTATAAGCTTCAGAGTAAACCAATCATTAACATTTGCTTACGAATTCTATGATTAGGGAATCCACCGCAGACATTCAATTCTTTCCTGGAATAAGCTGAAAGATATTCCTGATGATCTTGATTGATTAATCTTGCAAATTCTTCAGATATGAATCGTCTAAGTTCATTCTTTTTACGAAAATATGGATCTGAAGAATATGAAGATCTTATCTTTTTCGGAGAATCAAAACAACTTGATGAAGATTGCTCCTTTGATGTAGATTTCTGTGAATTTTGATAGTCAAATGGGTTATTTTCTCTTGTACTTTCAATTATTTCAGTTAAAGTAGGTTGAAATCCTCCCATTAATTCAGCTTTGGATATAGCTGACAATTTATCTTTCTTTGTATGTTTGTTGTTCTTAGATGGGAGGAAAATTGCACTAGTTGGTGGGAAATTTGATATCTCGCTTTCCATAATTTTGATGTACGTTAACTATCGTCTTTCATCAAAAGGAAGTTCAAAAACTGATCAAATACTCAGCTCTCACACAAAATATGAGAGCAGATCATAGCTTAGTGAGATATTCAGCTGGTTGTTGCATTATACACCCTGATCCAAAGAATGATACTCATTATAGGTTTGAATCATCTTGACATAAGTCATATTCTATGAGAAATAATGTTACCCGCTTTAAGCTAAAAAATGGTTATTGTCAATAAGTCAAATCTAAGATGACCACATTTTTAACACTTGAGTATCAAATACAATGAATTGGCTCAAGAGTGAGGTTGATTCCAAACTTCAATATGAGCAATTGAATCAGGAAGTTCGGTTTATGCCATTAGCAAACGAGAAAATGATAGGAAATTGAATAAAATAAGAGTTTAGTTATGATAGGAAACGGCCAAGAGGAAAAATTATATAAAACAAAATTTTTAAAGTTATTTATCAAGTGTTTTGAGGTATTCAACTGTAATCTTTGAAAGTGGCTTAATAACTCCTTGTCTTATAGGAGTTGCAAGGTATTCATCGATAAGGAACCTTGCAATTGTATTGTTGAAGTCCAAATTCACTTCACTTTTTGTCAAATTGAGTAAAGTTGGCATTCCACCCTCAGGAAGTCTGGCGAGTGCTTGCTTTGTAGCCATTTGCTCAATATTTATTACGTATTGTAGTGCTTCCTTGAAATCCAAGCCCAATCTCATTGTTTCATGGACAAGAGCGAAAAGTCGACCATTTCCACCGAAAGCATCGAACATTTCTGAGATCTGGCGAGGTTTGAAGTCTCCTGCAAGGTATTCCTTGGCTTCTTCAAGTGTGAATTCATCAATATAAATTCTTTTTGCATGTAAAATTTCTGGTTGATTGAGAAGCCACTCTACATCAGAGATTTCGGCGATGCATGAGATATGGTGGGATCCTGATGAGATCTTTTGTAATTCTTCGAGGAATTCGTTGTAAATTGGCAATTTAATTGCATTTTGCGGTTCATTTACAACAAGAAATACATTTCCTAAAACATCAAAGCCTCTAAGAATGATTTCTGTAGATGATGGGTGTTTTCCTATTGTATCAATAAGTGTGCATAAAGAAGATGCGATTTGTCTGACAGTAGGATCTTGGAATCCACCAATTTGTGGTGGTTCGACACCAACAATACTAGTTAAGGATGCTAAGGATGGAAGAGCTAGCTTGATTGATGGTATTGTCATCTCAGTATTCTTAAATGCAGTAATTATTGAACTTTTGATAATTGTAATAATATCTTGAACTGTAGATTCCTTTGTGAGCACTGAAAAATCAAGATTGACAACAAATTTTCCTGATGATTTGAGTTGCTCAACTGCAATGTTTAAGCCACGTGTTTTTCCAAAACCTTTTGGACCGTAGAGAATAGTAATATCTGATGGCTCACTGGAATGAACAAATGAATTGATCGCTGTGGCAATTTTCGCTGTTTTAACATATTTCATTGGAGTATCGATGGTACGGATTTCTTTTTTGAGTAAGATTTTGATAATAATGCCCAAAATAAGTATAAAAACTGCAACACCAATCTTGATTTTTGTCTTCAAAGTCAAATCTAAGTGAAGTTTTGATTTCTTGGGTTCTTCTTGAGCAACTTCGGGCTTCTTCTGGAATAGAGCGTTGATTTCATCAAGTTCTTGTGGCATCCTTACCTCGGAATTGGTTTCTGTTGTCATGAATTTAGTTAAAAAAAATGATGAAGAAATAAAAAAAAATATAAAAAATAAAAAAGTACAGTACTATTATGAAAAATATACTTAAATATATCCTAGTGTGCTGGTCCCGTAGTGTAGCGGTTATCACTTGGGACTTTGAATCCCGAAATCCAGGTTCGACTCCTGGCGGGACCAAGCTTTTTCTAATTTTTTTTAGTTAGTGAAATTTACATTTTCATTTTTTACAAAAATATGAAACAAATCAATACATTTTCTATAATTCACGATGATGAATTCGTACCACTTAGCACAGAAGTCATGGATAATGTTGTTATTATTGAAAATGATGAAGTTGACTGGCAAGATGATTTTAATTTGCCTCCGCACCCTGAAATGCAACATCAATACAGAAGATATGCATCACAAAATGAGCAAGATGAATCAAATCAAAACATACAGTTTAACCAAGCATGATTTTAGGATTTAAGTGGGTCGCTAGAAAAAGATTTTTGGATAACATATTTGCACGACTGTTTTAAAATTAAAGTTATCAGTTTGAGAACTGATTTTGAATTGCTTTTCAATAAGGTCCAAAAAATTGGAATTTGAAGATTGGAAGCATACAGATAGATTATTTTACTTTCACATTTCAATTACATCGAGAAAGTTCGAAAACATTGGTATAATCAGCAAAAAATTCACCAAGATTTAGAACTTTCTCAAAGGAATAGGAATCTACAAAACATTGTTCTAAAATTATTTCCTTATCAGCTCCTATCCATTCTCTAAATTGGTAAAATTTTGCTTGTATAAGATAACATGCAAAATTTCGCCCATATAGAGTTGGAATTGAAGGGTGGGATATATAAATAGACTACTTACCTCTCTTCCTTCAATTCTCCCGAGAGGTAAATTTCCCTAAGTTTACCTTCACCAGTTCTTGCCTGAGAAGGGGACTTATATTTCGGGTACGGATAGAATAGATTATCACAAAGTTTTCGAATTTTCTTTAGGAAAAATATAAATATAATAAATAAACTTTATTTGGAAATAAAAACATTAATCATCTTTGATACCTAATATACTAAACAACTGTTGTGTTCCTTGTGTTTGTTCACCCATAGAAACACTAATTTTTGGTGAAACTTTCTTAGCAGAAGGTTCTTGAATCATCTGTGGAAAGTCTCTTTTAAGAGAGCTTTTCTTATATGATCCAATGGAGAACGCTTCTGCAGAAAGTTGAGGAGATTCTGGAATTCCTGTTTTCTGAGGGGTAATTGATTCATATCTTGATGTCTGAGGGGAAGTATACTGAGGCTGGAAATCTAATTTGTCCTTCTTTCTATCAGATTTTTCAGTTTTTTGTCTACCGGATTTAATTGAAGAATTTGGAGAAATATCAAGATATTGGTATAAGCTAGAATTATCCTGGCTGGGTTGGTCTATATTTGGTTTAGGTTTTTCGGAAACATCTTCGAATTTTGGTTCAAAATTAGATTCTTTTGTATTTGTCACTTTTGCTGTCACTTTTGGTTCTTCGAAATTGTCAATTTTTGTAACAAAAGATTTTGGTGGAGAAATGTCTGTATCTTTTGGCGTAGATATTGTTGTTGGTCTTTTAGGAGATGGCTTTTCTTCAGGCTTTGTTGGTCGAACTGCTACATCTTTTGATTTCTTCTTTCTGAAAGAAAGAGCAGATTTACTTTGAACTAAAGGTTGTGCAGTTTCTGTATGTTGGGGAGAGTTAAGCGCTGATGGATGTACTACTGTAATGTTCTTAACAACAGTTGCTAAGTCTGTAATTAAAGATTTTAGTTCAGAAATTTCGTTTTTCATTGATGACATCTGTTCTACTATGGATTTTATGTCTTCTTTGGTTTCCATGACTTGATTGCCAAGAGCTTGAATATCAGATCGCATATCTGTTTTTGTTGAGATTCTTCCAAAGCAAAGAGAAATGGATTCGCTTGGATCAGATACTAGAGCTGTAGCATAAAACATTTTTGTGGTCGATTGCTGTTGTACGTGAAGATTATATATTATATTTCCGATTGTTAAGTGAATTGGAGTTGTTGGGAAGCGAGCTGCGAGGTCTGCTATGATCGGCTGAATTGATACGTCATCTGGACCTTCTGCGCCAGATATTTGTGCATCGATTAGCTTAGATGTTGCTTTATATTGTAATTTTGGATAACTTCCTGCAAGAAATGACGTAGGCTTTTGAGATTCTCCTATTTCTTCGAATGTAGTCTTAAATGTGGGGAATGGAAAATAAAATCTAAAAACAGAATCATTATTTTGAAAATAATGGTAGCAAACTATCTTATATATGGTTTTTTCTTGAGAAAATACAGTATGAACTGTATCCATAATATGTTCGTTTAATAATGTTGGATCTGGTTCAGGCATTTCTTCTGGAAAGCTTTCATAACGAATTGATATTTGATTTTCCCCGCATTTGCTTGGAAAAACTTCATCTTCTGCTTCTATACCTTCAACTACTTGAGTGATTCTGATAAGAGGATTACCAAGTGGTGAATCATAAGAAATATCACCAATAAGATAAGCAATAATGCCTTCTCCTTGTGTCGCATCGCAGGATATGTTAGACTCGATAATTTTCTGTATCATCGAATTTGACATCGATATTATTGGGATGAGACCTTCATTACGTGTCGACATCCGTATAATTTTTTTGCCAAAATTGAAAGAATGAACAATGTAAATTGTCAAACTGTAAAGAAAAATAATTAAACGTGTGGTGACCGTTTAAAAATGAATTTTGATATTGTTTATATCTTATCTTCGGGGCAAAATCATGCTTATTAGCTCATTCTCTATTACATGAAAACATCCTCTTCAAAATATTTATCAGCATTACTCTTTATGTAACAATATGTCTCAATTTGAAGTCTATTGTTCAATATTAAGAATATTATCATTAATCTAAATATGATATCTCATATGAGAAAAATTAAATTAAAAGAAATCTCACTATTCGATGAGTTTTGGGCATTTATTGCAAATGAATTTATTCAGAAACATTTTCAAGACCATTTGAATGAAACTTTACTAAACTGAGAGTCACACAGATGTTTTATCAATACATTTTTGAGATTCCTAAAAAGAAATAATGCTTTATCCATAAAGAATGACCCCCTGCATTTGGTCTTGTTGAAGGGGGAAAAGTTTGATAGAAATTTTCCAAATTTGACACTTTTAAAAATGGTTAAGCTCGTTATCCAGCGTGCAAAAAGTGGTTCAGTGACTGTTGATGGTAAAATTGTTGGTCAAATTGGCCAAGGAATCGTTGTTCTTGTTGGTATCCATCGTGATGATAAGCCAGAAGATTTAGATTGGGCTGTTCAAAAAATGTTGAACTACTGCATGTGGCCCGCCGATGATGACAAGCCATGGAGAAAGAGTGTTATGGATATTGATGGTGGCGTTCTTCTTGTTTCACAATTCACATTATATGCTCGTCCAAATGGCAGAAAACCAGATTTCTCACATTCAATGGGTCCAGAAGGTGCTACACAGTTGTATAACTTGTTTGTTGAAAAGGTTAAAGCAGCATATAAACCAGAAAAAATCCAGACAGGTGAATTCGGCGCAATGATGGATGTTGCTCTTGTTAATGATGGCCCAGTTACCATGATCTTTGATACACTTAACAAGAAAGGTTAAGTTAAGTCTTAATTTCTTTTACAAACATCCAGAAATAGACAACCATCTTTTTAACTACGTATAATTAAATAAAATCTTTCTTAACAATCTAATTATCATGAAAAAAAAGTTCTTATTTAATATTTTTATTTATTTTCTGTCTTAAGACAGTACTATATATAAAATAAATAAATAAAAATAAGACAAACTTTTTGCATTGTGAATCTACAAAGAAATTAGCATCCTATATTTATTTATTTTGATTCTTTGAAATTTGAATAATATATTTGGGCAGATTTGGAATATTAAATCCTGATGAATAAACTATGGATTTGTAAAAATCTTTAGTTTGATCAAAATAAACTAAAAATGCTTCAAGATTATGACACCATCCACAATAAGATAAATCGATCTCTATATTGTACTCATTCATCAAGAATGTAACAAAATCAATGTTGTGTGAAATAATTGCATTTCTCATGCATTTTTCGTTTGGCTTTTGATATTTCAAACATTCACTCATGATCGCTGGATTTCTGCCTAAAAATGATAATTCTAGACATGTTTCAGTTATATCTTGTCTGTATTCCGTCCTCAAAAAATTGAAACAGTCAATTGCTCCGTGGTAACAACATAATTCAAGTAATGAATATCCATCATCGGAATATCTTTTATTAGAAATTGGATATAACTTGCTTTTAAGTGTTTGATATTCATTAAATTCTTCTCTATTTGAATTGCAAAAAGAGATAAAAGATTGTTTGTCATCATACATTATTGCTTTGTAAATAGGATTCTCTGTATGAATGTCAAGATTTTCCGTTGAAATTTCTACGAAATTAGCAGACTTGTCTAATTTAATTCCGTATTCTTTATAAAATAGGTATTTTGAAATGATATAAAGATCGTTGATCTCTTTGATATGATAAAAATCTATAATGAGTTTTGCAAGATATAAATATGACTTTGTATAGCGATTATTATAAGGAATAATTTCAAAAATATTTCTTATAATTTTTGTAGGGGTGCTTATATTTGTTTCAATCAAATTTTTTTTGATCATTTCGTAAATTGAATTTAAATCTTCTTCTTTTTCTGTTTTCAGCTGATACAACGCATTATATGAATCGATGTGGCATTTACAAATACTTCGCAATTCACTGTATTGATTTATGTTCACGTCTTGATCAGACATGGAAAAAAAATTACAATAAATTCAATTTTGAGTAAAGCATGAAAAATTAAATAGTTGTAAACTTTGTTTAAGATTTAAATTTACCACCTTCTCTGGAATTTGTCGGGAAAACTTTAAATGATAAAATTATCTATGCTATTTCAAATCTTAATATTACATCATAGAGGGTGTTTTATTGTCGTCTAAAAAGTGACGAAATTATTATTGTCGTCTGACGACAATTATAATTTTTGACTTAAATTTCCTACAATTAATTTATGGCATTTTTATTTAGATGCGAATATAGGATATTGTATATGGAAACATACTGATATGGTGCGGATGTGTGGTTGTATATCATCCTATTTGATCATTAGTAGGTCCAGGTTTTGGATTTTAAACGTGTATTTCACCTGGCCAAAAACTAGGCAATTCTTATTTAAACTATTTAAATAATTTATGTAAAAAGCGTTCCACTCCTGAGATTCGAATTGTCGTCTAAAAAGGCGAGAGCGGTACATTGTCCGAAAAATGACATTTTGACTTTACAAGGTTTACGCTTGTAAAATGTCATTTTTGCCACTATTTGCCAAGACCAAAAAAAATCTTCTTTAGTTTCTTCAATATTGCTATTAATAAATTCTTAATTATTGGAAACTTTTGAAATAAGGAGTTCTGCCATTTCTTTATATTCATTGTCAATTGCCTTCTGAAGAGATGTTTCACCGCCATCATTTTTGGCATTTAGATCGGCACCATGTGAAATAAGAAGTTCTGCAATTTCTTTATTATCAAAATCTACTGCTTTATGGAGATGTGTTTCTTCATCATAATATTTAGCATTTATATCTGCGCCATTCAAAATGAGAAGCTTTGCAATTTCTTTTTTATTAAACCATGTTGCGCTATGAAGAACATTTCTTTCGTTTTGATCTTTAGCATTGGCATCTGCACCATGTGAAATCAAATATTGACAAAGTTTAACATTGTTGAACAGCGGTGAATAAGCCAATCCATTGTCGATATTATGAGTTTGATCCAAATAAATTAATAAAGCATGAGGATTATAATACTCTCCGCAACAAAACAAGTCAATTTCCATTTTGTATTCATACATTAAGGGTGCACACGAGAGGATCATGTAAACTTCAGAATTTAGAACCTTATTTTTAGGCATTATCTTGGCTACCTATTTAGGCTCGAAAAGCAAAAAATATCAAAAAATACAACTTGAGTCCATTATGACCCTTTCATGGAGGTAGTTTTTCTCCGGTAGTATTTTCCCTTTGAATCTCTTTACAATTCGAAATCAAATTCAAACCTCAGTAGAAGAAAGGAAGAATCGACTTACTACGGTTGTAATACGAATAAATACATATATTTAATTATTTTTATTTACATAATAATTGTTTGAAGCTCATATTCCAACAAATTTTTAAATAAAAACATTAAAATGTTGAAAATGTTCATATATTTTAATAGGGTTTTGGCACTTTATTGAGGAATTACTACATACATAGTCGAACTGAACTTGATATTTTGAAATTTAAATTATTTATCAAAATTAAAATTTAACTTGAAATTTATAATTATTTAGTCATATTTTGCATAATTCTAAGTAGATTTTGTAAAAAATCAAGAAAGAAAAATTTTAACGTGCTTTATTTTTTCTTTTTTATAATAATACATATTATTATATAATTAACATATTCATAATGTTTCACCCTTTCAAAAATATAATCCTCCTCTCAAATAAACGTACATACGGGTGTCCTCGTTTTTCAAAAAATTAAAATTTGAAATTTTGGGCTCAAATATTAGAGATTTTTTCAACCTTCAACGATATATGTTGTCTATATCAGACCTCCTTTCTTTTTGATACTTAACATTGTTCCTAAATCTTAGCCGTTAAGGTATAGATCCGTATTTTTCCCAAATGAGCGGGGTATCTCTAATCCCAGCCCTATCGTCCTCCCAGTGTCAGTTTTTAATATAAAATCCAAAATTTTTTTAAAAATAAAAATTTCGAGAAATTTTTCTAGTTTTTTTTCTTTGATTTCAATAATTCAAAATAAATTTTGGAGTAAAAAGACACTATTTAATGAAATTCATATGAGTGAATGTGGATAAATACTCTCAAAACATACAATTTATATATTTTTTCTTTATATTATCAACTAATTAGTGATAATTTTTTTTGAATCAGATTTTTTTTCATTAAAAATATAATATATAACGCAATAATGATGTACACATACGCATCTACCCATCAAAATATAAAGTTTGTTTTGGTCTGGGCACCCCAACCCAAAATTCTAAAAAAATTGAATAAAATTGAATACTTGGGGCTGGGATACCCAGCCCGAAACCGAATTGAATTTTTTGAATTAAAGAATATATTTACGTATTTATAATATATATGTGATGTTTATAAAAAATACTAAATTTTTGTAAAAAAATTCAATTTATTCAAAACGTATATTAAGTGATCACTTCATTAGTAGGATCAGCGATCCTACTAAATGGTGAGAATGCCACTAGCTAAAAAGGGAGTCCTTGGAGCTCTTGATCTCTTGTCAGTAGAGTCCATAATAAGGCATGGCATCTACTGATTAGAGATCAGAGCAATCCTACCTTACCTTCAGGAGCTACAAAGCTCCTAATCGTTACGAGAGGGAGCCTTGGAGCTCCTGAAGCTCATCAGCAGAGGATATTTACCATTTGGGCCTCTTTTGATGAAAGATGCGAAGCCCATCTACGAACCAGGAGCTCCAAAGCTCCTATTCCTTACGAAAGGGAGCTCTGGAGCTTCTGAAACTCCTCCTATTATAAAATAGGACAGTTTTCTTCTGAGGCTTCTCATCAAATCTAAGACTTCAGAAGAAAGCTGTCCTATCCGTGTATACTTACATTCTGATGGACTACAAGTGTACAACTTTAAGGCAGAGATTATCCGAGGCCTCTCATCAAATGAGGGACCTCGGATAATCTCTGCCTTAAGTAGTCAAATAGCTTTTCTGACTATTCAGGGACAAGAGAACAAGAGTTGGAATACTCTAAGGCAAGGTTCTTCCGAAATCTCTCATCGAATGAGAGACTTCAGAAGGACCTTGCCAAATCCTTGAACACCGATATCCTTGGAACCGAGCTAGGACCAAGGAGAAGTAGTGTACTATAGCGCACGATGGCAATCTCGGAAATACTTATATTGCCACATGCACAATATCTATTCAGCCTGACTCCTATATACAAGAAGTCAGGCAGAATAGATATTGTGCATATGATTTGCAGAACTCTCATATATATAAATTTTTGTTATCCCAAAAAAGGTGACACTTTGGGTGTATCGTCCATCCCAGGGATGCAAAATTCACATCACCTTGTATCTATAGTTAAGGCTGTTCTGAAAATATTTTTTTTTCGAAAAAATTCGAAAAAAATTCTTAAAATTTAAAAATCCCTTAATTCCTGAGGATTTTGGAAAAAAGTTTTTACATGAACATGTGTATATTATATGAAGTATATTGATAAGGTAAAAATCAAATTTTATTGCATATTCATCGAGAAAATAAACTAACGAATCCCTCAAAATTGAGAGGGTAATCCTCCTCCTCTCAAATAAACGTACATACGGGTGCACCCTTAAGAATGTAACGAAATTAACCATTATTGAAAATTTCAAAAGCATGAAATAAGATGTCATAACATTTTCGATTCATTCTTCGGCAAATGGGCCAGGAGCACCAAAATTAGTATTCGAAACCAATGGAAATTTTGCAGCTTTTCTATTATAACTTCCCGAAGAAACTTTATACAATGTAACAATGAATGTTGAAATATATTAATAGGATAATTTTGAATTGCTACTTTTAATATGCTTGCCTTCAAATCCGTCTAATTTAATTTCTAAATTGTATAAGATTAAATAAAATACAATGAAAAGCGCCGTTGGCCCAATTGGATAAGGCGACTGCCTACGGAGCAGTAGAGTCCAAGTTCAAGTCCTGGACGGCGCGTTTTTTTTCTAAATCAAGAATTCTTTAATTTTTTTTCAACAGATTAGTTTTTTAGTACAAGATATTTATCTCATGATAAATAATTCTCACAGAAATAGCAACAATCATATAACAATCGATCAACAAAGAAAAAAAAAATATATATATATATCTGAAAGTAAACAACAGAAGTTTATAGGTCAACAAGAACTGCACGATAATCAATGATGTATTTAACACCAGAGAATGCAGTCATGAAAGTAGCAATAGCGAAGAGGATAATTCCAAAAATGTGAAGTCCATCAGTTATTTGCGTGGAAAGGAAATCTGGGTAGTCCTTGATGAATGTGAACCAAACAAGGAGAGTAATTGAAGAAACCATTTGGATAACTGTCTTAATCTTTCCAGCCTTTTCTGCAGCAATTACAACAGAGCGTGTTGCAGCTACAGCTCTTAATGCTGTGATAAGGAATTCACGGAGAAGAATCAAAATGATTAAAAACAATGTCCAGTGTGGAACAATGTTTAATAGGAGCATTGTAATGAAGATACCGATCATAAATATCTTGTCTGTAACTGCATCAACAAAGGCACCTAAGGAGGAGCAAATGTGAAGCTTTCTGGCTAAGTATCCGTCGAGCCAATCTGTCCAAGCTCCAAAGAAGAAGATAATGGTTGCAATTGTAGCTGAATATGGTTTCTTAGAGTAAAGAAAACCAACAATCATAAAAAGCATTGGAATTCTTGAAAGGGTAATCGCGTTTGCGATATTAACCATTTATTAATTTGGAAAATTTTGTCACTTTTACAATTTCTAATATTGTACCGATGGAAAATTTAATTCTTATAATAGAGTAAATTGATTTCGTAAAAATCTCGGTTTTTTTTAATCGGATTGACCGAGAAATTCAATTAGTTTTCAGAAAAATTTCCTAAATTCAAATGATTTTGGGCCTTAAACCATTCTCATCGGGCGACTTTATATATCACTAGAGGTGCAATTAGGGAATCTATATATGAAATATGGTGCATAAAAATGTTCTCAGAACCGATCAATGCTGAGGTTTCAAGCATACATGTTCCCAAAACTAGTTTAAAAGAATATTTTATTTAGACAATAGTGATTTAAATATTTTCTAAACAGCATAGATTGATAAAACAATACAATCTATTTAGCCTGAATCTTATCTGTGTAATATTCTTTGTGAACTTCGGCTCGGCAAGTATCATTAAATTCTATCATTCTTTGAGTTGCTTGTACAGTTTTCGTAGATAAATTGGGATTCAAATTTGAAACATGAGACTAATTTCGCTTAATAGAGAATACTTAAGAAAATGCATGTCAATGTTAGTGATTGTTGAATTGTTTTTGTTAATTAAAATCGTCAAAATAAAATACATGAGATATTAACAATATTGATAATTTATTATAATTAATTATACGATTGAATTAGAATTAATTTTATTACTTGGCTCCAATAGATTTTAGAAAATCTCTTACATTAGAATTAGCACAAGAGAGTGCAGGTATTCCATAATTATCCTTTGCTTCTTTATCAGCTCCAACAGAGATAAGATATTTAACAACTTCAAGATGACCTTTAAATGATGCATAAAATAGTGGAGTCTATCCATATAGGTCATTTGCTTCTTTATCACAGCCACATTCAATAAGTGATTTGACAAGATTAAGATTTCCTCTTTCACTTGCCAAATGAAGTACATTATTTTCATTATAATATGTCTTCTTCCAAAGTCCTTCTTCACAAGCCTTTGAAATCATTTCGCGATTGCCTTCAGATGAAAGCTCTTCAAAGAATTTGTAAACACTATAAAAATCATTGGTTTCCTTAAGGAATGAGAGTTTGTCTAAAAATTCTTTAGAAGAGTTATGTGATTCATTAATTTGAGTTGTTGTAGTTTCTTTGGAAGCATTTTGTATTTGATTTTGTAATGCTTTTATTTCTGTTTGAAGTTTTTTGATTTCTTTTGTAGAATCAAGCAATTGTTTGTTGTTTTCGTTGATAAAATCAATGATTCCATCAAATACATTGAATTTCATGTACTTTTTGACGATCTTAAGAATTGAAACGACATCTTCAAAATTTTGGATAGTAACATTCGCCTTTCGTGTACTGATATATATATCTTTGGAGGTGAGACTTGATGAAGACTGTTGAAGAAGACTAACGTACTGATCTGCTGTCAAACGTGAATATTTCATGATTGCTTTGATGTCACTGATATCGAATGTATCAAAAAAGTTTTCATTTTGAATATAATCACTGATATGAGCAGCAATATATTCGTAATTCAGATTCATTGACTGATTTGATTTTTTTGAAAAGTGGTTACTTTACAAAAAAATCAGAAAAATCTGATTCTTTCTTGTTTTCTTTGGTTTATAACGCCTTAGTACATTACGTATTTTAAAATTATTCTGGGAAAAATTTAAAATCGAGTTATTTTGGATTCTTTCGCTATGTGGTAAATGAAGCTTATTCTCGTATGATGATATTCAATTACCATATTGAAAACATCCTTAAATTGTAGAATGGAATTAAGCAAATTATAGTTTTTGGATGATGTAAATCGGTTGATTAAGTTCTAGTACAGATTTCTAAAGGAAATTGATAATTAAAATATAAATACAAAACAATTTAATCTAATAATAAAAACAAAACAACAAAAAATATGAATTAATGTCCTTCAATTATAAGCATCTTAGATTTGATATGATCTGCATATATATCAAGCAGTTTGACAACGTCTTCAGTTGGAATTTCGTCTTCATTTATCCAAACGTAGTCACTTCTATTTGTTACTTGGTTTGTCATCTTAACATGGAACTTACGAAGGTTTTGGCCATTACTTCCGTACCCGCCATTCACGATATTCACGACATCAGTGACCATTTTATCAGTTTTCCTTTTTGGAGCTGCTCTCGTAATGTGTGATCTTGCTGCGATTCTTGGCTGTGGAATTCCTCTGAATTGGGCCACTTTTGGTGTCTTTGCGATGGTATTCAAAGATGATGCAGCTTTTGTTGGAGATTTTTGGCCAGTTTTGAAGAGAGTCTGCAGTAAATCAGGTGAAGAATCTGATGGAGCAACTCTCATCTTCGGAGGTTTGACAATTGATGATGGAATGTGATGATCAAGCGGAGGAAGCGTTTTTGCCTGTTTCTGAGGCTCAGAACCTCGGGTAATACTTTCAGTGATAAAAGCACTGCCAGTTCCATTAGCACTTGTGAAATTCATGGTCGGATTTTGAGATTTTGAAGGCAATTTAACGGATCTGCTCTTTGCTTCCCTCCAAACACCTCGGCCATCCCAAAACAATGCGGAAATTGGCATTAAAAATATACATTCTGGTAGAGAAACTTCAACTCTGCCGCCATAACTTCCATTAACCTTTGCATTGACCCATTTGTTCTTCAAAGGATGCGTAACTGCTATTGTTTCACCTTTTTGAGGGATTTGACGTGCTTCCGTTTGAATTGTTGTCAAAATTTCCTGATGAATAATATCAAGGCTTTCATCAAGGGATGTGAAGCCGCAATGGCTTCTGTAGACCTCGTATATAGTAACATCATCGTTCTTAATACTTTCGTCTGAGTCCAAACAACGGAATAAAAAGGATGATATGATCATTCTTGGTATTGAACCAATTTTAGGCGATTTTCCTGTCTGTAGATAATCTTTAAGTCTCATTGCAGCCCATAATTCCTTTTCTACTACTGTTTCTGGTTTGATATTTTCTGATATCTTTAAAAGTAAAACCCAGTATTGCCATTCTTCTAATTGTGTAATTGTCTGATTAACAGCACCCCAATATTGACGAGCAACTAACCTTGGAATGTAAGATATTGGTAAATTCATCCATTGTTTAGATAAAATGCCCAAAACGAGCGAGAAATAGTCTTTGAATGTACCGATTTGCAATTCGATTGGATAATTTTTAGCTAAATATTGAATTCTTTTAATTTGAGGATGATCTGTTAATTGTTGAACCTGAGAGCCCTGAGGTGTAATGAAAAGGCCAGGTTCTCCAAAATTACACTTACTTCCTGCAAGAAAGTTGTTAACAAGTTGTGCAGATGTCATTGTCGCGCTTTCTATTTGTTTTGTACGTCTCGCATTAAGTACAGTCTCACTGAATGCAAGAGTATTACGGAATTTTGCAGCATTATTGCGAATATAGTCTGTGATGAAAGTTCCATCAAATATCCAGACACGTGGTAATAAAACAACAAAAGATAATGGGTGAACTCTTAGCTTTTCATTAAATCCGTTGTTTGAACTTCTTAGGAATAGAATATAAATGTGTTTTATTGCCAAAATATCATCAACTTCGATTTGATTATTCCTAAAATCTAATTCGAGTAAAGCTTTAAAGCATGATAAGAACTCCAAATTGGATATTTCGTTGTGGTTGAGAATTAATGAAGTTAATTTATAACAATGATTAAAAACATCGGGTGGAAAAGTTCGAAATTTATTATTCGCGAGATTTATCTGTTTAACTTCAGCTGAAATTTCTTCTTGCTTGATCTCGCTTCGATCTTGTTCATGAATATCAAAAACTTCATCCATTTTTTCCAGCTGAAATAACGGATAATTCAAAAATTTTAGATTTGACATTTAGAAATCAAGAATGATTGTCTTTATGCTAAATATATAAAAATAAAGATTGACATCCAAAAATTTCGCTATTTTTGACAAAATTTACGTGTCAAAAAATATTTTGGATTTGAATACATGGAGAAGCAATCATCAAGCAAAAAAAAGGAATCTCCATATAGCAGTGCTTATTTCCTTCTTAATATTTAATATAAATTTACGTATTGGTATGAAGATATTAAATATAAATTATATTTATATTAAAATTGTGTGAATTTATTCACTGCATATAAGAAAAAAAAAGAAAGTATTAGTACTTTTCAGATGTAACAATAGTTCCACCCCATTCGATTACTGTGAAACCATCACGTTTGAATGCTGGAAGTTCTTGGGGTTCGATGTCACACGTATTTTCTAAAGGAAGAGCTGCAAAGAAGACTCTGTTAATGTTATCTGGTTTCGGTTCGACGTTCATTGGACACATTTCGTCGAAGTTTTCGAACTGGAAGCATACTTTGATGTATTTATAACCGCAAAGCTTCGGACACCAATATGTGATGAAATCGCATATTTCTGTGTCGTTTAAGTTCATAGAATTAAGCTTATCCTCGAAGAAAGAGACACTCTCTTCGCCTTTGATAATGAATCCTTTATCCATATTGAGAATAGGATAAAAGAGCGTTTCCCAGAAGAGATATCTCAGCTTCTTTCCTCTGTGGATAATCTCTCCTGACGGAAGTGCTTTTACATTCCAAGTGTTCTCTTCGTCAAATGAAGGATAAACAAATGAAAATTCACCATTATTGATTTTGATACTTACCTTTGCATCGATTTCTTCCTTTGGATACAAATATATCACTGGTTTTCCACCACGCATTACTCGGGAAAGATAAATAGTAGAATCTCTTTGGATATCATAATCAATTAATTTGAAATTATCTTCTAAATGTCGTTCCCCACCATAATATAGGTCTTGATCTCGTGGGAAGATACCTTCACTATCACAAATCAGCAATTTAAGATCAAAGACTGTCGAGTTCCAAATATCAGCATAAAGTACTAGAGTTTTGACAGTTATCAGACGTATATAAATGCATTGGCCGCCCTTAAGATCAGATATATCATACTGAATTCTAACTTCATTTACTGAACCTCTTTGAATTTTGTAATAGTTTAATGTTCGATTATCATCCATAATGATTCCATTATAAGTCATTGTTTGATATTTTATTGGCCATCCCGTTTTACTGTAAAACTTTTCTTTTAATTTCTCTACTGTGATATTAAAATCATCAATATCAATAGGAACCTGAATTTTATTAAATGAAATCGCTATTCCATCATGAAGACAAAGGCGTGCACCCACATTATCTTTCTTTATAGGACTGAGATATTTTTCTAAAGTGCCGCTATTTGGCAATAAGAAATTTCCCAAATATAAAAGCTGCTTATTTGCTGGGATCCCTGATTCTTTTTGGAGTTTTAATTTAAAATCCTTGATTGTAGTATTCAAATTAATATTTTCAAATGGACAATATACTCCTATGAAAGAATTAACATAAATATTTATGAATTTATCCTCATCTTGGATTTGAGAATTTGAATTTTGCTGTCGAGTTTTATTTTGAGTAAATGAAAATACTTTATCAAGAATATTTATTCCCAGAATTGATGAGATAGTTGACGAGATTTTATCAACTTCTGCCTGAGTTGCTAATTCTGATTTACGCGCATGACCGAGCATCACCAGCATATCTGACTTGCCATGATATTTTGATAAGTTTGTAAATAAAGTTATGAATTCGTGTGGACTTAATTTTGCATTATCAAGAATGTTGCAAATATCTGGCGGTTTCCTTGCTGATAAGAATGTTTCATTATCAATATAGTTGGTGATGTTTTCACCAATTAGTTTCCAGTCAGGTTCCATGAATTATAAAAACTAAAATGTAAATTCTATAGAATAGTGAAAAAAATTGAATAAAAAATATGTTATGCTCAATCATATTTACTAACGTACTATTACATACCTTTTTTCGTTATCAATTTTTTTCCACCATTCAATTTTTTTTCCCACCATTCAATTTAGTGTGATTTAAAGTCGTCTGACATTTATAGTAATTTTGCTATTATAAAATTGATTCTATATTCATATTATGAAAAAAACGATCGTTTGACAAGCTGCGACTCAAGTATGAATATTTAATATGCTTTCAAAGATGATTTGTGAAAAATTTTCATAATGTATGTGCTTTTAATGTCCTCCGTTTGTTGCTAAAAAATCCGCTAGCTAAAAAACGGCTATTTCTCCTCAAAAATGGCAAATCTGGTAGTTATGGGTATCACCCCATCTAAAATGAGCTTTTTTTTGACACTGGAGTGTCAAATTCAATGTATTGGCTCAATGGTGAGGTTGATTCCAGACATCAATATGAGCAATTGAATCACATATGTGATCCCGTGTTTACCCATATGTATGTATTCAAATCACGAGAACATCATTTTCACTGCATGTCCTATGAAGAATATCTGGAAAGTTTTTGAGCTTTGTTAAAAAGACATTTCATTAAAAAATTCTAAATTTATATAATATGAGGCGAAAATATATTTTTCATGCTCATCCGTTCAATTTTTGCTCTTGTGGTATTAATCAACATTTCGCTACCAATAAGGATAGTTGGTAATCTACAGTAGATTTAAATAAATCTAAAAATTAATAAAAAAATTTTTGTTAACATATTTACAAAAATTTTAAAGAATATTATTAGTTTGGTTTCAATGCAGCAGCCAATTCTTCTTTCTGTGCATCAGAAAGATTTGTTGGCCACAAAATTCTTGTGTGAACAACAACATCACCGTATTCAAAATTATCATTATGAACAGGGAGTCCACGCTTTGGAATTCTGAAGTCTTCGCCGCATCTTAGTAGATCTTTGGATTCAACAATAAGTTTGGATCCGTCAATATGGTCGAATTCTCTTGTGAAGCCAAGGAGTGCTTCTTTAAGTGTGACGTTAACATTCATATGAAGATCGTAGCCATCACGTCTAAATAATGGATGCTTCTTGCTAGTGATCATAATTTCGATATTACCTGGCGCGTTTTCTTCTGAAGTATCTCCTTGGTTCTTATAGGTAACTATTGTGCCTTCTTTAGCTCCTCTTTCAACAAAGAGTCTAAGTGTTGTGTTTTCGCGTGTTGTTGGACGTCCACGACATTTTTCGCAGAAAAATCCCTCAGTTGGACATCTGCACATTCCTCTACGCGTTAACTTAATAGAATATTCGCGTCCTTTGTAAAAATCGATTAAATCTACAGGAAATTGTAATCGAATGGTTTTTCCAACACGTTTTACAGCTGCTTGCAGATCATTTTCTTCTGTAATAGGATTTCCATTAATGTCTAATTCTTTCTTTGGACTCTCATATATGTGAACACCTTGTTCACCATATAAATCATAAATTCTGCGTTTAAGCGGATCTTTCAGAGTTGCATATGCATCATTTACGTTTGTATATAAGACGGATATTTCTTCATTTCCTTTATTTTTATCTGGGTGATATTTCTGTGATAATTCTTTATAAGAAAGGTAAATTTCATTGGTAGTTGCATCGTGTTTGAGATGCAAAATATCATAGAAATCACGTTTTCCATTCCTAGTTACTGCAGACAGAGCAAAATAGGAAAGAAAACTTAACATTTTTTATATTGAAGATTTCTTGTCACTTTTGTGAATTTTTGAAGAATTTTCTGATGCATATCTCCTTTATTTCTCTTGTAAATTGTCTAAAACTATAACAATCATTTACTCTCAATGATAGTAACTATAGTCTCTGCATATCACGCATTATATATCAATTAGATATGAGAGGTATCACATTGGTGGAAATAGCTATGGATATGCTCAAATAACAAGTATGCACGCTTATCATATTCATGACAAGTCAATTACAAAGATTTGTGTTAATGAAATTGCAATATTTGCAATTTGAAAATCCACAATATATTTAGTTGCTAAATAATACTTAACAAATACAATATATGATGTGTTTAATCAATGATATTTCTTTTCAAAACTAATTTTGAATCGAGCATTGACTTTTTTGGACAACATACATTTGTAAATTGCCAATCGATAATATGTATTGTAATATACCATTTAAGGCTCAAAATCATTAATTCCTTAATAGAATCACTTTGAACTCCCAATAAAGTTATGAAAATCACTGCAGAAACTACAGCCACTATGGTATATGTAGTAAGAAGCATTTAACTAATGTCAATCATTAATATCTCTAGGATTTACTAAAAAAAATTGAGATTTTATATAAGTTATAAACATAATGTTTTATTGAATTACTGTATAATAATTTAGTTCTCATTTTTTGTTATTTACATCATTAAGGATTTCTACCGACCCATTGAGAATTTCTTTTGTTGCAATGGTCAAAAGGCCCTTATCCACGAACTCTAATGTAATTTCGAACTCCGTAATATCATGCAAAATAGCTTTGATTGGGTTATCTCTTTGTCTTGTTTGCAAATAGATTTCTGAGCCTTGGTCATAAATTTTTCCTTTAAATAAGAATGCATTATCAGCAAAAACAACGAGGTCATTCAGGTTAACTCCATTTTCTGCCAATATTGCCAATAAGTTTGGAACTTCGTCTTCAAACGTGCATTTTGGCGGCTGAACTCTTTGAGGAGGTATTTTCTTCTTGCCTTTATATGCTTTAGCTTTTTGAGAAATTTGCTCATATAATTCTTGTCTTTGAGGGTTGGCCTGGAGATAAGCTTCTAAATCGCGTTTATTGTTGCTTTCTAAACTATCAAATTGACTCATTAAATCTATCATTTGGTTTTCTTTATAATCAGAAAGTGATTGGTCAATTTCTTGTTTAAGAATTGCTTCATGCTTTTTTGTAACTTCTTTAAGTAGTTCGACTTGTACATTATACCAAGTATCTGCATTTTCTCGCCTCATTTTATGTATTTCCTCCATAATCTCTTTGACTTGTTGTGGATCTTTTAATATAGTCTCCATTTTTTTGAAATGTGACTACTGTCACTTTTCATGTTTTAGAAAGAAATATAATGTCAGGAAAATAGTATCGCATAATATTTTTATAATTTCCTAGATGGTTTTTAATTTATCTCAAATATTCAGAAGGAGACGGAATCGTTTATAAATAAATTCGTTATTATGAGTTTTGATGAAAAGTTCAATGCCGAATCACTAATTAAGCAGGTTCATAACTTTATAAGCGGAAATCAAGAACTATCTGCAGCAGCCAATCAATATCTAATCGATTTATCAAATAATTATAAAATTCAATTCACAAATTTATGTTCAACCATCTTAAATGATATAGAAGCAAACTCTCAAGACATAAATTTATTCATGGCAACTACTATTAAATCATTTTTCACTGAAAATTCAACTCGGACTAATGCAGAAATAGAAGATGAATGGTTTTCAGATACGGCATCACAGCTTAATCTACGAGATACAACCAAAAATGCTTTATTTTCTGCGCTTATTTCTCAAGATGAAGGATTACGAAATCTTTCTGCTTTTTCCCTCGCTTATATTTGTAAATTAGAGACAACAAACTTTGGATCACTCGAAACTAGATTCATAGAACTTCTTACTCCAACAGATACCCCTGAATATTATGTAATTGGAATCTATAACTTGTTTTGTCAGCTATTAGAGCAATCATTTCTTGAAAATACTATGGAATTGGATCCTCCACAGATCATTCCTTTCCTAATTGAAAGAGGATTTGATAGTTTAACTGATGAAAAACTTCAAATTACAACAAAAATGCAAATATTTCAATATCTCGATCTTATTACCGAGCATTATCCCCAAATATTATACAACCAGCAGTTTATTGACCACATTTTAGATTGTTCATTTAATATAATCCTATTTATAATGAATGATATTGAAGAAAAAGGGAAAGTTACTCAAATTTTGCATCTCATATACAATATATTTACAATTTACTATCATAAAGATGTCAATTCATGGAGCAAAATTTCAGAATTTCTTTTGATTTCATTAAATTGTACGGAAGAAGACCATGAGCATGAAAATCAGATTTACAATGAAAAAATAGTAAGAATAGAAGAAACTTTAAGACAAAAGAAAGCAAATTCTGAAGAAATCACAAAAGATGACAAATGGCTCCTTGATAGAGTCCAATTAGAAAATATACATGAACGAAAAATACCTGTTCTATTCTTTCTCCAAAACATTAGTGATTTTGAATGGAAAATACTGAAACAAAATCCAGAAAATTGTCACTTTTTTATTCAAGAAATTTGCGAAGAATTATTACCACGAATTTTGCATTTAATGGTTCCTTTTGACTGTGACAATGAAAACATAGAAGATATTGATGACCAAGAGCCATCATACTTTGCAACAAATGCTCTAAATTCTCTCGTGAAATGCTGTAAAGTCCAAATTTATCCAATTTTGGAAGAAATCATCAAAACGAAACAAATTGACAACGTTTTGGTATATCTAAACAGCATTTCTGCACTGACATTCGGTCCTCTTATGGAGAATACTGATAGATGGCTTATCGACATGGCTGTCAACGGAGAAATAAAAGAAATGGCAATGAAAGGAAACAAAAGAATTCAAGAAACAAGTTTGTATTCAATTTGGAGAATTCTGAAGACTCAGAAAATTCAGAATGATGATGATTTCCTGTCAGTTTTCGAGATATTAAAAGCTCATTGTGGAGAAGAATATTTGATACGCGTTCGATGCACAGATATATTAAAAGAGATACTCGAAATTTTGATGGAATCAAATAACGAACTTTTTGACAATGTTTTTGAAGAAACATACCAAATTACTTGTGATTTAGCAATGACAGGCACTGATGAAAGATATTATTTAATTGAACCTTTCAAGGTATTGGCAAATGTCATAGTTATGATGAATGAAACAGAAGAAAATTGTACAAAATTGTTGAATTTCACTCAAATTTGTGTGAAAAAAGTGACAGGAGAAGATGAAACACAAAAACCAACTATTTTTACGAAGACATGTTATGTTATATTGCTTGCATCACTATGTTCCAAGTTAAAGGACATATTAAGTGATCATGCAGAAGAGATTTTCTCTTGTTTGATGTCATGTTTCACTGAATATGATTTAGAATTGTGGTCAGACACTGTTGCAGCAATTTCTTTCTTGATTGATAAGAACAAAGTGAGCTCAAGTCATTACAATAGGCTTTTGGAATGTTTTGAAGTTGTAAGAGATAATAATGACAATAAGTTGAAAATTGTCATGTTAAGATTAATTGGAAAATATATTTCTTTGTCTAATCCTTGTTTATCTGATGATTGTTTAATGTTTTTAGAGAAACTAGAAAATATCGTTCAGGCAGAGAATTATAGTCCTGATGTAATGATTGGTGTCTTATTCGCTTTACAACAAATTTCGAAGTATTTTTCATTTCCAAAAGATGATGTACTGGAGAAAATTATACTAATCATCCATAAAATTGGTGAATATATACCTGTAAATGATCCTGAAAAGTTTGAAACAGTTGGAACCCTAATTTTGGCAATATTTAATATATTAATTGTCAAATTAGCAAAACTTAAGCCAGATTTTGCTAAAAATAATTACAATGATATGGGAACATTCATTTTATATTTGTTTAATAATGGTATTACAAGTAATAACGTGATGTTTGGCTGCGTAAACTTATTAAGGGCAATTGGAAGATATGTTGGTAGGAAAGCAAATGTATTCTTAAATAAGAGAAGCTTCATTCAGATTCTTGACTTTGCAGACAATTCAGATGATGCAAATCTGAGGAAATTGTCTGAGGATACAAGGCACTTCATAACTTCGCTTTAGAGATTGTATTTATTGTTTTATTTTATAAATAGATAACCTTTCTAGAAATATATTTTTAAGTTTACCGAGATTTGACCTTTTTATTTGTCCAGCATATCACAATTAATCAGTATTTGCAGATGATTGTAGGAAATCTCCTTAATATTAACAATCGATCAAATGCCTTTAATTTGTTTTTGAATTCCGCTCTTGTTTCATTGTTTTTTAAATAGTCCTTATTTCATATAATTTTTATATACTTTTTAAGTGTTATTACAAATTCAATTACTCATTCAAAAAAATCAATACATAAAAGTGACAAAAATTTTATGAATCAGAAAAATTAATCACAACAATATAAAGTACATTAAATGGCTGCTTGATTTTAAAATTCTTCATTTTCAATGGATGATTCATTTAAAATTTTTAATGCTTTTTTCTTTACTTTCCACATCGTTATGTTCTCTGCAATGCAAGAATAACAGAAATTTTGGTGTTGACTGGTTTGCCATGTTCAAATTGCCACCAATTAAAGATAAAAATCCAAATCATGCAACTGGAATGGCGTTTTTCTACACAGACCCATCGACAAGCCTAGCTGAGGCTACATCAGATGTAGGTTCTAAAAATGGTAATCCCCTTTACTATACGCTTTCACCAATGTATTCTAAAGATTCTGAAATTGGTTATATGCTAATTTCTGATCAACCTCCTCACAGAATTACAAATCCATCTGACACATATGCTCATAAGAAAGGAGTTCTAATATACGACAAAGATAACGGACTTTATCTTGAGCATTCTGTTCCAAGGTATCCAAATGACCCTCAAGTAACAACTGAGTATTCATACCCTGATACAGGAACAAATTTCGGACAGTCAATGCTATGCACATCATTGACTCATGAACAAATCAATGATTGGGCCTATGGAATGTTGATTGAGCGTGGATATGTCGTTTCTTACAATGCACCTTCATTTACAGATCTCAAAATGCCTAACCTTCGCAAAGTTATCGATGGCGAATGGATTGAAAAGGAAGTCAAAACAAAAGTTACAGATATTCAATTGAAGACACGTTCCTTTAAACTTTTCTCTAAATGCAGATTCTGGGGACTTGATTTATACCACGATTTGATTGCCCCGACCTTTTCTACAAATGTTATTTCTGAAACATGGGCAAGAGGTACCGGAACGATGACATCTAACTGTACAGGTGCATACAAGGCAAATAACATATTAACAGTAAGTCTGGGTGATGTTTCATGGTCAAGAATGAATGATCACTCAAAATGGGCTGTTGCAGGGGATTACGTATGTATTGGTGGTATAAATCGCCAGGATAAGCAACTTGAACGTGGCGGCGGCACATGGTGCATGAAAGACGCAAATTTTGCTACATTAATGAGAAAGAGTGCTTCAGAAATTGAGCAATGCCCATAAAGTCATTTTGTATTATTTTGATCAATAATGACAAAGTTTTTTTGTAAAGTTTTCCTATTTATTAATGTAATATCTTCATTTTTTGTTTTCTAAGATTTAGATTAAGAAGGTTTCAGCTTTTATTGCTTATGTATTTGTTATTTTAAGTATTACGCATTCAATTTGTCAGCTAAATATGTTATTTCAGTTTTAATAGCAGGATCAGCATAGTTTTTATATAGATATTTACTGCCAATTGTCATGTTATATTGAGAGTTAATCTGTTTACTTCAATATTCGAAATTGAATGACGAATTAGCATTATGATAGCTTTACTTGAATAATAAGTCATGACTTTAAAGGAATCAAGATACAATACGAACAAAATAATACAAAATAACAGCGAATTCTTTATCACTGGGTTAGATTTTAAATTCTAAAAAATATTTTCTATATAAATGATTAAAGTCTCTTTAGAAATGAGAGAATTTAGAATGCTTCAAATAGTAATCTAGTAGATAGAGAAAGAAGTTTTATTTTTATTTGAATTTTTGATCGATATGATCAGCACCACTTACAGTTTTTCCTGTAAGAACAATACTCATGAAGTCATTCATTCCGACTTCTAAGTTCTCCAAAACAAAAGATGGTTGCTTGAAAACTTTATCTTTTTGGGATCCTGTGTCAACAGCAACTGCTAAAGCACCTACATCAAGAGCTGCTTGGACATCTTGCATCGCATCTCCAACATGAACAACTCTATCGATCTTTCCATATAATTCTTTGGCTTTATCAATAACTGATTGTAAAATATCTGCACGATTAGGATGTGAACCTAATCCACCAAGTCTGCGGTCGAAATATTGTGCCATATTTGTCTTTTCAAGCTTTGTCCATCCGATTCCTGGAATATTACCTGTGCAGAGACCAATAATAACATTGTCATGCTTGCTAAGGTTCTCTAAAGCCTTATATACGCCTGGATAAACAATTGTATTTCCTGTATGAATTTCTTTGAATTTTTCTGTTGCAATGTCATAAAATTTGTAAACTTCTTCAGGTGTAACTTCTTTTTCGTTAGCGGCCTTCATGATACACTCAGTAACAATCTTGTAATCCGAATATCCAGCGAAGTGTGTTTTGAGAAATTCGCTTGGACAAAGATTGATGCCGTATAATACATTTAAAGCATGCTTCATGGAATCTCTATGATCTTGGCCATGATTTCCTGCAAGCATTAATGTTCCATCAATGTCAAATGTGACAAGGATTTTTCCTTCCATTTTTTTGGTGTAAATTTAGTCACTTTTTAACCATTTGAGAGTTTATAAAATTTTTTCAGAATTTTTTTTTACTGGAAATGGATGATTTAACACCAATAAGTATTCAAGGAATGCCAAATTACGGAGAGCTAAACCTAGAGAATCCCGCAATGTCTAATCTTCCCCAAGCAGAAAAACTAAAAATTAAAAGACCTCCTAACGCATTTCTCCTTTTCTGTCGAGATAAAAGGCAAGCTGCTCGCGGCGAAAATCCTGATTTAAAGAATGTTGATGTTTCTCAAGTTCTTGCTGAACAATGGAAAAATTTAGCGGATACTGAAAAATTATACTACAAAGCTCTTGCTGCAGAGCAACAGAAATTATTTAAAGAAGAAAACCCTGATTATCGATATGAAAAAGCAAAAGCTAAGCAACTCATGAATAAAATGAAATTACGCCCCGAGTTTAAACAAATAACAAATGTTTTAGATGTTAAAACATTACTTGCTATGTCCGTAGAAGATGTGAAGGCTTATATGCTCTATCTTTCGAGTCAAGTTCTTCCAACTGCAAATCAAGCAACCGAGCAGATCCAACAGAACTTCCAGCTTGATAATTTTCAAGCCAATCAGCAGCAGCTCCCACCTTTATAACTCCATTCGTACAGTCCAAATAATTTTTATTTCAAATTTATATTTCTAATTAAGTATGTTTATATTTGTCTAATATTTTGTTTATTTTAAACAGTATAGAATCGTTTTAACCTCTTTTTTTAAAAATCAAATAAGGTTTCTCACTTTTAGAGTATGAATTGTTGACTGTGATATTTAGAAGCATAACAAGCACTCTTCAATTAATAATTCCTCATAGAAGTTTCGCAAAATATATAGGTGATATTAATTATTCGAGATAATTACTTCATCTGATCTATATATTCTTACCATATGAATCAGATAGAGTAATATAATCAATACTAATAGCAGATATTTGGAAGTATACGATTATTATATAGTCATCTATGAAAAGTTTTTTCACTTGAAGTCATAGGAATCAGTTGAACATATCTTTAATTTGAGCACTTCATTCTTAGTCACCAAGAATGAAATGCCATTCACAGCTGAAGCAAATATCGATATTTGCTCACTCATTTATAAGCAAAAATAATACCTAATTATTTGGTGCGGATTGACTTGGTCTAAAAACAATAAACAACAACTTTATTACATATAAAATACAAACAAATAACAAAAAAAATAATAATAAAATTACCATGGAAGGAAGATAATTTCATTAGTATCTGATGCATACTTATTTGCATTATCATGCATATTCCACAGTGGGAATACTGATTTATATTTAGCTTTTCTGTGAAAGCTCGAAAAATTAATTAAAATTGAATGGGGTTGTAAAACCGAAATTCTAATTGAATAAAGGCTTCCACAGAGAGAAGTTGCTACTGCAATGTCGGCGGCTGTGTCATGGCCATTCATTAAACAATCATTTGCAATTGTAAGTAAACCTCTAAAATTATTAATAGAAGCAGCAACAGACAGCGACTGAAACTCTTTCAGATCCAAACAATAGAGTCCTCCAATGTCTAACTGCTTCGAAAGAATAGTTGATTCGGCTTCTATCTCAGAAAACAAAGAATTAAAGCCATAAATCTGCAATCTTGATAGTAAATCAAATAATGAATATGGGCTAAGGCGCATTCCATAAGATAAATTAACAATAAAAAGATGTAAAATATAAATATATATTAAAAGCGTTTCTCCACACACAAAATGAACTTTTGCGTTTGGATATGTAATTCCTAACTTAATAAAATCTAAAAAAGTAATAAATAAACGAGATGTCTGTTCAAAATCGCGAAAAGAAGTTGAATTTCGACTTAAATTTGTTAGTATTGAAATAACTAAGTTAAAATCTGAGTAATCGAATGGGTGAAATTCGAATTTTTCTGGTGAAAGATGAAAATCAAAATCAAATTTGAGTGGAATTTCCGTAAATTGACGAATTGTTTCACGAAGACTATGTAAGAATTTCAATCTAAAGTTTATTACAATCTGTTGTTGTGACGAAGAGTAAGTTCCTGGGTACTTAGCCATTGTAACTAAATCATAGTCAGTGCAATTGTCTTCATCTGCTAAAGAATCAAGTTTGTTACCGCAAGGATTAAATCTAGTGCCTTGTGCCACGTATTCTTCTGTTCCATCTTCATCATCTGATGGGACTGTCATTGAGCCAAGGGCACCAAACATTAACAAGTAGTGGGTTCGATTAAACACTGTATTTCCAACAATACTTTCTTCGAGAAATAAATGCTGAGGTCGTAATCGGTAACTTGTTTTTCCTCGACCGACAAAATCATTTTGACGTGATTTTGTAAGACGCTTTTCTGATTCTGATTCTTCATGCTTAGTCTTCTGAATAAAACTAAGTGAAAGTGTTGGGATCAAAAACCTGGATAAATCAATTGAAGATTTCATTACTTCAACAGAGCCGGATTTTGTTAATACACCCTTATAACTGTTGCTTCTTGGTAATATAGATGTAATTTGGTATTCTGTCAAATTGCTAATGGATGAATTTTTTGTTGAAATCTGTGTAATAACTAATGGATCGGATAGATACTTCCCAATGATGCCGGAACTTAATGCAAACTGATCTTCTGAAAGTAAAGTTTGCCGAACTTCATCCATTTTTTGAAAGAAAAAAATTAAAAGAGTAAAAAAAAGTTCCATAAGCTTTAATTATCTACCTTACTAACGCATTTAATATGAAGTTACTCATTACGGCAAGAAGTGGCGTGGTTTGTCCAAGCCCCTGTGGTAACTTGGTACATGTTTTTTTCAATCTTTGGAAGTCCTAATGCAATCGTGCTGGATAATGAAAATTGAGAAAAATCATTCCTATCTATGAGTTGAAATTGTGACTTACATTGATGAATATGTTTTATTGCGCATAAAAATGCTACACCATAATGGTTCTATTACTTTTCTTTTGATTGATTCGAAATTTAAATTGATTACTTCTTTTTCGCGTAATATCTTAGAATTTGTTTTCTCTCTGGCATGGACTCTCATTACAATATATTGCAAGTTGTTTTGAAGTAATTGAATATTTAGAAGATAGTCATTTTGATATAAATTCATCATTTAATGGGATGAATGAATAGAGCAGCAAATTTGAAATTATGTGCATTATTTAAAATTGTAAAAATTTTAGCCAATTTCATAAAAATATTAAAAAAGATGTAAAAAAAATTAAATTTCTAAAATATTTTTTTTGAATTATGAAAATGATATTTTGAAATTCAAACAACATAAGCTAAATTAGAGTTGTTAGATTCCCGACGATAGGTGTCTTGGAAGATTTGCCTGGTGCCATCATAGTGTCTTTAAATCAAAAATTTTATTTTGGAGTTAGTTTTATTGATTTTTCAATAAAAAACATTTCGAAAACAAGAAAATAAAACGATAAAATATTTATATTTTATATAAGGATCTTATATATTTAAAATAAATATCATTTTATTTTTTTCATTGGTGTCTGTCAAACCATAATACACTATTCAAAAATTCAATGTGTCTTGCGGTTTCAAAAGACACCTTCAAATTGAACGATAGCACAGACACTATTGAATTTTACCCATTGTATTTAGTTTTTACCCTTTTTATTTTTAAGAATTAATGACTGAAACAGCCGTTTTGCTATGACCTCAATCACTTTTATTTATTATTTTAAATATTATTTAATTTTATTATTTGAATAGGCCAACTTATATTTGAGAAGCTCAATTTGAGACCACTTAATACATTGAAATATCATAAATATTGAAATATTAAAAAGTGTATTTCAAAATATTGAAATTATAAAAATTTATAATACTGAAATTGAGACAAATTAATAAATTCAATGTGTTTTTTTTGAAATAACTCTCAAATATTTTTTTTGTTTATTTAATGATGAATAAATATGATTGATTTAGTCAATCATAAAAACTAATTTAAGTTTAAAATAATGAAAGGATAATTTGATCGTTTTTTAAAATACAATTATTTTTGATGATTTGCAAGAATCTTTGAAAAGAATATAATATAGGTTCTATTTTTGTAAAACTTATCCAAATCATGTATTACATAAATTACGATTAAAACGATGAAAGAACCAAAAAGTGTGTTTTGTGTTTTGTTGTTGCGTGTTGGATGCGGGATCCTGTTATTTCCGAAATCGACAAAAAATTTGGAAATTTAATTTCCGAAATCGAAATTATATTAATGTTTTTAATATTCTTATATCAAAAGGATTAAAGTTCATTAAGAGAAAAACAATTCTTCTTCTTCAATCTATTGGCGCATTTATTTCTACACGCCAATAAGGAAGGGAAAATTATAAGACACCATGGTGTCTTCAAAACGCTAATTTTTGATATTTTTAACAACCCTAAGCTAAATAATGATATTATTCAAAATGGTCATTGAATTGAAAAGTGACATCATAAATCGGTTTGGCCGGGCATTTCACATAATGGAAACAGTCATTGAACACGGTCTTCATCAGATCAACCTTTCTGGCAATGTTGCCAAAGGCATCAGATGCACAATCAAGGCTATTCTCAAGGGCAAAGCTCGCCTTGTCCTCTTAGCCGATGATTGTGAAAACAAAGACTACAAGAACCTCGTTGCCGGTCTCTGCAAGAAGCACAATGTTAAGCTCCAGGCTGTCGAGAAGAAGGAACTTCTCGGTAGGGCTCTCGGTCTCACCCATTTCAAGGCGGATGGTTCAGTTCGTCGTCAAATGAATTGCGGTGCATGTGCGATCATCAGATACGGCTCTGTTGATACTCAGGAATTAGACGAATTCCGTAAGGCATTCGATCCTGCTGTGGAAGAGCAAGCTTAAAGATGACCATATTGTTTTAACGCATTCACGTGCTCGAGAACCCTTGAGTACTTATTTTTTTTTACTTTTTTTACTTATATATTTCATATTATTTCATCTGAGCTTTTGATTTCAAATATACTAATACCTAGCTTACATAAGTTACCGAGAGAATATATTTATATTCCCTTCGTAATTTTTGTTAGCTAATTTTGATAATAATTTGAAAATATATTTTTAGAGTGTATAATTATTCGAATATTAATTATCATGGTTATGTTTTGCATATATTTATGAGTGTTATTGTTTTAATTTTGAATTTTTTTGAAATCAAATTAAAAATATTTCTTAAAACAATAAATAACAAACATTTAGTATGAGGGATGCGAAATAATTCTAATAAAGACAAAAAATATATCAATAATAGTATGAAATTAGTAAAAAATCATGGAATCATTTCTATTTGAATTAAATCAACTTATTACTAGGAAATTCAACCTAAAAAGTATAACATATACATTCGATATCTTACTAATATACAAAAACAAATCTTATTAGTATAATATTACTTAATATTATTAAGTCCTGGATCAACATTGATCTGAACAAGATACTTCAAAGATATTGGAACTATTGTTGACATTTCTGGATTCTCATATTTTGACTCTGATTTGATTGAAATAAAACCATTGTCAGGAAGTCCATGACCTGCTGGGAATTTAACATGTTCAAACTGAGGAAATATTTTTTGCGGATAACTGCTTCTGATTTTCTTTTCATTTCTAAATTTTTCCATTAATAATCTAAATCCTTTTTTCTCTTTTATTTCGGCAACATCTTGCTTATCTTCGTTTTCTTTAGGCAAAATTTTTGCTTTTGATGCGCCAATTCTAGAGAAAATATTATATTTTTTGCATGAATCAAATGATATATTTTTGGAAAATATGTAATTCAAAAATCTATGCGGACTAACAACACATACATTTCCATTAGAATCTTTTGATAGTATTATGAGTCTGTTTGCGTATATTAATGATTGTGATTCTAGAAAACTAAAGAAAAATCTATTATCTGGCGTTTGGATACTTTGTATGAAGCATCTTGGCCCTTTAACTTTATATGATATGATAGAATTTTCGTCAGCGTCTAAATATCCAATTACACAAGAAGTACCTTTCCACTTTGAGCATTGATCAATATATTTAATCAATTCACCAAGCGAATCTCCTTCTTTTCCATCTCTTCTCCGTTGAAAATGCGTTAGTTCTGGTTTGGGCAAAATATCAGATTTTTTCATCAATAAAAATGAATCAAATGATTGAAGTACAGATATAAATAACACAGAATGTGAATGCTTCTTTGTAATTTTCAGAATATACAGAATAATCCTTTATTTAATTCTTCATTATGTGCCCAATATTGCAAAATTGGACATTTTTTGATTATATGACAATAAACTTTAGTGATTGGCTGATAAGAGTTTTTTCATAGAAATATCTTTCACTAAAAGTTTGATAGAAATATAATAATACAAATAGATTTAATGTTTATACATTACAACATAATTTTAAATCAACATTTACATTTCATCATCAACACGATCTTTGATAACGCTGCCAATTGCCAAAGATGAAGGTCTTTCCTCACGTTTTTGCTCCTCTTCCTGCTCCTCTTCGCCTTTTGCATTATTATCCTTCTCATCTTGATTAATTTCTTTTTCTTGGGAATCTTCTCCTGTTTTTTCGTTATTTTCTTGAGATTGATCGTTATTTTCGCCAGATGCCTGTTCTTCTTTATGTTCCTCCTCTTCTTCTTGGACTTGAATAAGAGATTCAGCTTCATTTTGCTTTTCAGAATTTCCTAAAGAATTAAATCTCTTTGAAGCTTCTTTAGCGAATTTATTAGCTGCCTCAACATTCTGGGCATCGAATGCTGTATGTGCAGCTTCTAAATAGAACTCAGCAGTTTCAAGATTTTCATCATCCAAACAACCATCGACCATTGTCTTTTCTGCTGTAATGTAAAGATCGCATGCAGTATCTTCATGATTATAACGAGCAATTTTTGCAGCAAGATAGTCTCGTCTGAATTTTAATGAAGATTTATCAATATCAAGGGATTTAGCTTCAGAAAGGGCTGCTTCTGCAGCTGATACATTCTTCTTTCCTGATTCCTTGAGCTCAAAATGAGATTCTGCAAGTCCAACGAGCAATTCTGCTTTTGATTCGTTTGTAACTTCTGTATTTTTGGCAATTTGGCGACCATTTTGAAAATGACGGATTGCACTCTTTGGTCTTTCTGTATTTTGATAATAATTTCCGATAGCAACATGACTATTAACAACTTGTTGTGAAGATTCACCATAAACCATTGTTCTGAGGCATTTTTGCTTAACAAGTAAGTTAAAAAGTTCATCTCCTTCGACGTCATCAGTAATAAGTCCATCAATTTCCATTAGTTTTTCTTTTGGATCGCGAAGATCATCATCTTCTTCAGGATGATCTCTAAAATAGCGAACAGAGTATTTCTCATACGTTTCGCTTTGTGGTGTAATAGTCGAACAAATTTTTGGTGGCTTTGATAATCTAAATGTTGAATCGTCGAGTTTTGATTGAGTAAGTGTAGTTCTTTTTGTGGTATTTTTCATATCATTGTTAGGTGATGAACTTCCTGTACTTCTCATTGTTTGACTACGACCTTGTGTGGCTGTAGGAGGGGCAGTAGACATCCGTTATTTTGATAATTCAAAAAAAAAAATAATAATAATTACCAAATTGAAACAAATATTTCACATATCATGCCTCTTTAATTTCAAAATTTCAAAATAAAATATCAGAATACCGAATTTTTTAAGCGATATTTAAAGAAAATTCAACTACAAAGACAAGCATTACTCCTCATTTCGGCAAGTATTTAATAGCGTAGCTTCTTATTTCTCAAAATCATAGTAGATATTCAAATGTTAATTGCATTTCCTTTATAACGAACAACATAGCTATCTTCTCGAAATATTTGCATGCAACAGTAGATTCTATCATACTGATTCAGAATTTTATGCCATAAAACGTAAGGGTAATTTGACAATCTATACATTCCAACAAAAAATAAGATTTATTCAATTAAAATACAATGTATAATATGCTCTGATGGTTTGCGACTTTATAAGAGCATATTCAATTAATTACGACTAATATTATATTTTGGATTCAGTGTACCAATCTTTCCATTAACCCACCAAGAGTTCTTTCCCTTACAAAGTGTCTTTAGATCTTTTTCTTTGTAAATTGTCTTATTTATATCCAAAATGAAATCTTTATCATACAAAAATCTAAGTCTTGGATCTTGTGGCGCTAAATCATGAATATCCAATTTAGATTTATAAAGATCCTTAGCCCATGGCATCTGTTTCTTACAGTAATGGGACCAAAATATGTAACTATAGTTTGTAAATGGATAGCTGTTGAATTCCTGGTGAGAGAATGACTCATACTTATTCTTATATAGCTCCAGAGTATGGAAACAACTCGAGCAATGCGTTCCTAGGTATTGTTTGGTCACAAAATGACGAGTACTTCGCGAAGTTGATAATAGATATGAAGGAAGCTTATCGCTGTACTTGAATACTGCTGTGAATCCCCATGTGGTCTTAACCATACTATTGTAATTGTGATTGTAGAAGCGATACTTTGTATTATAATAATCTTCAACGGGAGGGTTTTGAATCATGAACTCTATACCCGATATTGTTGGTATTTCATCAATGTCTCCTGCAATTATGATATCCCCCTCTTTTGGATTCAAAGTTTTTACAAAATCTAACATACTGTTTCGCTGAATTTCTTCTCTTGCCCAATTGCTCATATTTGCTGAAAGATTAAGCTCAAATAAGTGTATCTTGTCGCCTAATGCTTGTATCTCTTTGTCGAATGGATAAAAAGAAACGTTATTCTTTCTTGATGAAAAAGTTAACGAAGCAGACACGACAACGAAATGATCTACATATGGTTGTAATCTCCATATTCGATTGTACAACATATGACTTTCGCTGTTATAAAGAACGCAATCAAATATTTTTGAACGCTTTCCAATTTGGAATTTCAACTGGACAGCAGGGTTAAAATGGAACCTGATGAAGGACTTCAAGTACACAGCGACAATAATGAAGTTAACAGCGTTTAAAATCTTTGACTTTGCATAATTCATGAAATTTATGTTCATAGAATTTTGAATCAACTCATAGAAACTTTGTCTCAAAATATGCGATCATTTTCCGGAATACTTTATTATAATGATAGAGATTTATATATGTATTTGCTTCAAAATAGGCGCTAAGAATATAAAATTAAGTAGATATTGACTTAAAAAAAGTACTCCATCAATTTGCTTCACAAGGGATGAATGATTCTCCTCCAAAAGCAGTCATAGTATATTGCATTTACTGCATTGTCTTCATCCTTATATGGTTGTTGCCATATTTAACTGAATGCATCGGTATAACTGTTGCAGATCATCTACTTGTTCTTCCAAGCAACCAGAAATTCTTTGGAAGCTTTCCTAAAAAACACGTGGTCGGATCAAAGCATTTATTCTCAAAATGTCCGCTAAATCCTGACGATTTACTCATAGATTTCACAAAAATTCCGAATTTTGCATCACACAACTCTCCACCAAGGGATATAATTACGAATGAACAAACAGTTCGTTATTCTTCAATAACTAATGCCACTTTTCATCACTTACGGAACTTATACGTCGGAAGCAATTTATTAACTTCGAATGGCACCCATATTTTCAGAATTGGAAACGATGGATCAAGTTCTTACTGGTACCGCGATCAGCCTGGAATTGTCATTGCTAACTACACTCATGTTTGCGCTATTGGAAACGTTTTTTCTTTTTATGGCCATTTCTTTGTTGACGTTGTTGCACCATTGATGTTCATCCCAGAAGAGTACAGAAACAAATCAATCATCATTATCAACAAATTGAAACCATACAAAATTGAAATTTTGACTCATTTAGGTTTTGAACGCAAAAGACTTGTAAATCTTCAACGGAATAACTGGATATACGCAGAGAATATATATACATTGACACCGCACCCAATATTTCGATATCCAGGAATTACATACAAAAATATTGGAGAAACTTTGAAGAAAGCATACGGCGTTGATAAATATAAGCTATGCTTGTATGTCGTCTCCAACAGAGCACCTTCTGAGATCAGAAAAATCAAAGATTTCTATTATTTGGTCACATGTATTAGAAAACAATTTCCAAATTATAGATGGGACATAATTCCTGATAAATTTAAGTCTTTCAAAGAGGTTGCACTCGTTTACGCCCAGATAAAGTTGATTTTCACCATAACAGGATCAAATCTCGTTAGAATCTTGTTCATGAACCCAGGATCTGTTGTGGTTTCGGCACAGCTGAACTTCAATGACTATAATATGCAGGCAATGGCCCTGAGCAACGGTGTAAAGTACATTGCTTATTTCGATCCAAGGTATGACCACACACATCATGGTTACTTGGAGTTGGACCATAAAGACGTGATGAGAGTAATAAAGATCGGATTATATGCTGCTGTAAATGGCACAATTCCGAAGAATTCAACTGAATATCCTTATGTTAAGATGTGAATATTAGTTATATTTTGTTATTTAATAAAGATGTATCTTATGATTAACTTGTTGAACGTTCTTGAGAGATTCATATCTTAATAATCATTAAATCAGCTAATCTGACATGTTATTGAGCGTTCTTGAGAGACCTATATCTTGGTAAACGTGTGTATCCAATAAATCAGCTAATAGCGTAAGTTGTTTATAATTTAAGCCTTGCTTTTTTCTTTCTTTTATGAAATTGATCAAGTCAGGATTTTGCAAGTCGAAGAACCGCAATATATATACCACATATTTACATTAAACATACGGGTTTCGAGCATTATATTAATAAATCTGATAATGAATGTTTAAATCATTATTTTATTCAATTATGAGAAAGGTCTCAAAAATTTCATAGAGTTATATCAATTCTGGTATCCTCCAATACCATCAATTCAATTTTTTTTGGGTCCCATTTTTTAATGAATTTGTAATGCCCAAAACAATTTGAAGTGATTGGTATTCCAATTAAGGGTTTCGTTTTGCTAAAATTGTCACTTTTATAGGGTAAAAAAGGGGGTTGGCGTCCTAAGGCGTCCTAGTGTAAATTTCTCAAAATTGTGATATTTACATCACATTTTTGAGAGGTTTATGGGCGTCCTAAGGGAAAATTGAATAGCTAGGGCGTCCCGAATTTTCATTCTAAGATTTAAATATATTATATACTTAAGTATAATACAAGCAATATAAAAATTAAATTTTTATTATGTTAACTTATAAGAAATTTTTTTGAATTATCGTTGATTTATTGTAATCTTTCCAGGCTATACTTTTGAAATCAACTTTACCTGTCATACGCATTAATGTAGTAGATGTCCAGGTGTAGCTATTATATCCCAGCAATATTGGTATTTTATCATTGTAAGATATCAAAATGAAGCGTTTTTTCAGATATAATTTTTCGTAAATTTTTCAAAAATAAGATGGTAAAAAAGCCTCGACTTGCTCGAAAAATAACAATTTTTTACTTGTAAAAATAACCCTTTTACAGCATGGGCAGCTATTCAATCACTATTTCTTTTTCTAAAAGTATATTTTTCAAAAAAAATTAAGATCAAATTCGACAATTTCTTGATGAAAGCAAAAATATTACACATACTTCTCGATGCATGGGATAAAATATGCAATTATTCAATCAATTCGCATGATTTGAAAAAAAAATCTAAATTTGATAAAAATGTAGAAAATTTTTATTTTTAACTTGAGATTCGATTTTTTTGATCCAATTTGTGAATTTTTTTTGATCGGAATTTCAATTAATTTGTTGATCAAAAATGACCCCACAATGTTTGATCATAAGTGAAGTCATCTTCATGGGTATTTAGAAATTCCAAGAGAAATTGCTTATTTCTCGCAGATGTAATATCTGAGAAAATCGAATTTAAATATTCATAGAAACCCAAATCATTCTCCGGTTCGAATAATTCATCTGTTGCTTTTTCTGTTTTTTCTATGAATTTTAATAATTTGATTAATAAATCTTCATCAGGAAGAATTATTGCTGCATTTGTGATAAAATTCCATATTGAGGTAATATGAGGTCAGGTAAGTGGGGCTTCCAGGCGCGTTGCGCCCTCTAGCCCCGAAGATGTTTAGTATAAATGAAGTTTTTATTCGGAAAATTGTTAGTCTTCTGGTGTGAATTCGGAGGACTCTTCTTGGATAGAGTCTTGTATTTCCTCCTCCATTGCTTCTGGGAAGAAGCCTTCTTCTGGGTCGAAAACATTATATAATGTGTCACTTTTCACAAATTATATATGTTTTCATGTTTTGTCACTTTTCTGTCACTTTTCAGGAAAAAACATTTTTATTATTATATATAAATGAATTTTACAAAACCACCGTTACCCTTCTTTGGAAATAAGAGTAGATGTAAAGATATTCTATTGAGAGAACTTAAGAAACTACCGAATGGTCTAACATTTGTAGATTTGTTCGGTGGAAGTTTCTATATATCCCATTTATGTCATACCGTATTTCCTGACTCAAAGATTATATGCAATGACTTCGACAACTATATGAACCGTCTCAAACATATTCCAGACACAAACAATATATTGAAAGAGTTAAAAGAAAAGATACCTATAGGTAAGATGGAACGTATACCATTAGATAAGAAAAATATTGTGAGAGAGGTTTTGAAAAAAGCAGAATATATAGACTGGGATAGTATATCTGCTAGACTATTATATAGTGGTTCTATAAGAGTTCATGACATTGAAACACTTATGTCAAAAGTTTTATATCTTAACTATACAAATGTTTTCAAAGAGAACATAGAAAAATATATTGAGGGTATAGAGTTTGTGAGATGTCATTGGACAGAGTTGTATGAAAAATATAAAGACAAGGAAAATATTTTCTTTATAGTGGACCCGCCGTTCTATAACACATGGGATTTTCAATACCAAGTAGACTGGACTTTGAGAGACTCTTTAGAAACTTTAGACGTTATACATAACCATCCATGCTTTTACTTTACATCCGATAAAAGTGGTTTGGAAACCGTTATGAGATGGTTAGAAGATATAAACGACTATGAGTTTAGATATGACAAGATAGAATATGAGAGAGGTCCTATAAACCGGAGAAAGTGTCACAATAAAGAAATTTTATTAATAAGTAAATGTGGTTTGAAATCGGATTGTTAGTTTTAGGTTTTTTCCATTGTGTCATTTATTTATTTGACGTGGCAGAAAAGTACAGAGAATATGAAGATGAACCAATGCCTGCAAATGTTCAGTATATGTACTCGTAAGAGATATTTTTATCTAATATTAAATGGACGCACAGAACTTAGCGAATGCACAGCAACCTGGACAACCAAACCCAGAGAATATTCCAAATGAAGTTAGAATACAAACTGCAATGGCAAACTATGGTCAAGTGCCAACAGATGTACAAATGCAAACTGCCATGTCAAATGACGCTGCGTTAGGTTTGCCACCATGGTATGCAAATATGAGATGGAAAGAGTTTTATACAAACCCTGAAGTGGGATATAAACAACTTTATGCAGATGACGCGAACACAGGAGTTGACCCAGAATATGTTTTCTACCAGAGGAGAAACAGAATGTATGAGCTCCAGTTAAAGAATGCTATGGAACTCAACAGGAAACGTAAGAGACTAGGCGGACATTAGATTTTTACATATAGTAAAATGGGTTTCTTCAGTAGTATTGGAAACTTCTTTCGAAATGTTGGAAGAGGTATATGGAATGGAATAAAATCTGTCGGAAGAGGAGTATGGAACGGTGTCAAAAATATTGGTAAAAGAGTAGGTCAGTTTGTTGGTATTATACATAAAGACCCTGAACCAGAAGAACAAGCTCCTGTTATACAACAGCCTGAACCTGCACCACAGTCTAGTTGGCAACCAAATCCAACACCTCAACCGTATTAAAAAATTATATTTTTACCGTTCGATAGTAGTTGTATATGAAACTAAGTTCTAAGTAAAACGCATGGTATAATGGAATTATTCTTTTTCTTCCATCTGTAGTAAACCATACTTGAAAGTCTGAAATACTTCCACTTGGTGGTTCGTATAACTTTGTAGGTTTTTCGTAAAAGTCATTTGCCAAGCATAAGAAAGAGTTTTGGGCGCCAGAAAATGAAGCATGAACAATAATAGCATCTTGGTCGAAAATATTTTCATATGTTCCATTAGGGTTTTCGACTTCATAATAGTCCGGGTGTACTGGATATGCTGCAGGCTGATTTAACATCCTCATAAATCTATACCATGCCAAGTTGTTATATTTTGTAGAAATATAAACGTTTTCTCCAAGGTCTTCTATTTTATTGATTTTAACAGTTGCATTTTTCCTGTCATAAATAATATCGAGATGGTATTCTCCTTCGTCAATGTTATACTGGTTTGCATATTCAATATAGATATCGTTTATTTTTTCTTGAAAAGCTTGAAGAGTTGTTTCTAAGTTTATAAGCAAACTAACTTGTAAAAGTTTTCCCTGTTCAAATTTCTCATACATACGTTTTTCTTTGTTATAGTATCGAACTTCAAAACCGACCGTAAATGGGAAACCATGTATGGCTTCTGAAATGAACTTCATTCTACGAAAGCCAATAGCTTTTGTGACAGATGGGTCTCTTAACCATCTTAATGGGTAGTCAAAACGATAGCCTTCATGCTTTACGGTATCTGTCTCAAACTTTTGACCGACATTAGTAAAAAGTTCATCTAATGGTTTAGTTGTAGCAACTCTAGAATTTTCTTTTTCTATTGGAAGCATATTTTATCTATAATAAAAATGTCAAATGAAACAGCGTCTATGAGAGAAATACAACACAACCGACAACTCATTATGCAAGCTCTAAATAAGAACACAACAAACTTTTCAAACTATTCTAAGATATCTGAGTCATTGAAAGAAGGAAACTTAAAACTGACATTAAACCCAATGACAGATGAGTTTCTGTTTCAAGACAATAAGAACCATACTGTCTGTATAAATCCAACAAAAGGAACTTTAAACGAGAAACCTATAAATGAACTTCTTTTGAAAGCAGATGTTGACAACAAAGCTGACAAAGAATATGTAGACGATGCAATAGCAAAAGAAGAAGAAAGAGCTAACAATGCTTATGCAACAAAAGAACATACTCATCCTGAACTAGCAGACAAAACATATGTTGACAATAAAATGTCAAGTGAAGTGACAAGAGCTGAAAACGAATATTCTAAAAAGAGTCATATACATTATATTAACCAAATACCAAGTCTTAAGGAAACATTAGAGACAAAAGCAGATAAGACTCATACACATTCTATATCTGATATTACAAACTTACAAGAAACCTTAAACAGGAAAAGTGACGTTGGACATACACATACCATTGCAAATATTACAAACTTACAAGAAACCTTAAACAGGAAAAGTGCCGTTGGACATACACATTCTATATCTGATATTACAAACTTACAAGAAACCTTAAACAGGAAAAGTGACG